GGAAGCGATATCTAGACAGATCGCAAACATATAGATTTTAGTTAAGGAAATTGATTAGTAGGTCCTAGGAAAAAAATCGAACTTTTTTCAGAGCAAAGATAGCTCAATTCTGTTTTCACCATTGACTTTTTTGGGTCGAAAAACTGCCTATTTAGGTCACAGAACCAAAATGGAAGCGATATCTAGACAGATCGCAAACATATAGATTTCAGTTAAGGAAATTGATTAGTAGGTCCTAGGAAAAAAATCGAACTTTTTTCAGAGCAAAGATAGCTCAATTCTGTTTTCACCATTGACTTTTTTAGGTCGAAAAACTGCCTAATTAGGTCACAAAACCAAAATGGAAGCGATATCTAGACAGATCGCAAACATATAGATTTCAGTTGAGGAAATTGATTAGTAGGTCCTAGGAAAAAAATCGAACTTTTTTCAGAGCAAAGATAGCTCAATTCTGTTTTCACCATTGACTTTTTTAGGTCGAAAAACTGCCTAATTAGGTCACAAAACCAAAATGGAAGCGATATCTAGACAGATCGCAAACATATAGATTTCAGTTGAGGAAATTGATTAGTAGGTCCTAGGAAAAAAATCGAACTTTTTTCAGAGCAAAGATAGCTCAATTCTGTTTTCACCATTGACTTTTTTGGGTCGAAAAACTGCCTAATTAGGTCACAGAACCAAAATAGAAGCGTTATCTAGACATATGGCAAACATATAGATTTCTGTTAAGGAAATTGATTAGTAGGTCCTAGGAAAAAAACCGAACTTTTTTCAGAGCAAAGATAGCTCAATTCTTTTTTCGCCATTGACTTTTTTAGGTCGAAAAACTGCCTAATTAGGTCACAAAACCAAAATGGAAGCGATATCTAGACAGATCGCAAACATATAGATTTCAGTTAAGGAAATTGATTAGTAGGTCCTAGGAAAAAAATCGAACTTTTTTCAGAGCAAAGATAGCTCAATTCTGTTTTCACCATTGACTTTTTTAGGTCGAAAAACTGCCTAATTAGGTCACAAAACCAAAATGGAAGCGATATCTAGACAGATCGCAAACATATAGATTTCAGTTGAGGAAATTGATTAGTAGGTCCTAGGAAAAAAATCGAACTTTTTTCAGAGCAAAGATAGCTCAATTCTGTTTTCACCATTGACTTTTTTGGGTCGAAAAACTGCCTAATTAGGTCACAGAACCAAAATAGAAGCGTTTTCTAGACATATGGCAAACATATAGATTTCTGTTAAGGAAATTGATTAGTAGGTCCTAGGAAAAAAACCGAACTTTTTTCAGAGCAAAGATAGCTCAATTCTTTTTTCGCCATTGACTTTTCTAGGTCGAAAAACTGCCTAATTAGGTCACAAAACCAAAATGGAAGCGATATCTAGACAGATCGCAAACATATAGATTTCAGTTAAGGAAATTGATTAGTAGGTCCTAGGAAAAAAATCGAACTTTTTTCAGAGCAAAGATAGCTCAATTCTGTTTTCACCATTGACTTTTTTAGGTCGAAAAACTGCCTAATTAGGTCACAAAACCAAAATGGAAGCGATATCTAGACAGATCGCAAACATATAGATTTTAGTTAAGGAAATTGATTAGTAGGTCCTAGGAAAAAAATCGAACTTTTTTCAGAGCAAAGATAGCTCAATTCTGTTTTCACCATTGACTTTTTTAGGTCGAAAGACTGCCTAATTAGGTCACAAAACCAAAATGGAAGCGATATCTAGACAGATCGCAAACATATAGATTTCAGTTAAGGAAATTGATTAGTAGGTCCTAGGAAAAAAATCGAACTTTTTTCAGAGCAAAGATAGCTCAATTCTGTTTTCACCATTGACTTTTTTGGGTCGAAAAACTGCCTAATTAGGTCACAGAACCAAAATAGAAGCGTTATCTAGACATATGGCAAACATATAGATTTCTGTTAAGGAAATTGATTAGTAGGTCCTAGGAAAAAAACCGAACTTTTTTCAGAGCAAAGATAGCTCAATTCTTTTTTCGCCATTGACTTTTTTAGGTCGAAAAACTGCCTAATTAGGTCACAAAACCAAAATGGAAGCGATATCTAGACAGATCGCAAACATATAGATTTCAGTTAAGGAAATTGATTAGTAGGTCCTAGGAAAAAAATCGAACTTTTTTCAGAGCAAAGATAGCTCAATTCTGTTTTCACCATTGACTTTTTTAGGTCGAAAAACTGCCTAATTAGGTCACAAAACCAAAATGGAAGCGATATCTAGACAGATCGCAAACATATAGATTTTAGTTAAGGAAATTGATTAGTAGGTCCTAGGAAAAAAATCGAACTTTTTTCAGAGCTCAATTCTGTTTTCACCATTGACTTTTTTGGGTCGAAAAACTGCCTAATTAGGTCACAGAACCAAAATGGAAGCGATATCTAGACAGATCGCAAACATATAGATTTCAGTTAAGGAAATTGATTAGTAGGTCCTAGGAAAAAAATCGAACTTTTTTCAGAGCAAAGATAGCTCAATTCTGTTTTCACCATTGACTTTTTTAGGTCGAAAAACTGCCTAATTAGGTCACAAAACCAAAATGGAAGCGATATCTAGACAGATCGCAAACATATAGATTTTAGTTAAGGAAATTGATTAGTAGGTCCTAGGAAAAAAATCGAACTTTTTTCAGAGCTCAATTCTGTTTTCACCATTGACTTTTTTGGGTCGAAAAACTGCCTAATTAGGTCACAGAACCAAAATGGAAGCGATATCTAGACAGATCGCAAACATATAGATTTCAGTTAAGGAAATTGATTAGTAGGTCCTAGGAAAAAAATCGAACTTTTTTCAGAGCAAAGATAGCTCAATTCTGTTTTCACCATTGACTTTTTTAGGTCGAAAAACTGCCTAATTAGGTCACAAAACCAAAATGGAAGCGATATCTAGACAGATCGCAAACATATAGATTTTAGTTAAGGAAATTGATTAGTAGGACCTAGGAAAAAAATCGAACTTTTTTCAGAGCAAAGATAGCTCAATTCTGTTTTCACCATTGACTTTTTTAGGTCGAAAAACTGCCTAATTAGGTCACAAAACCAAAATGGAAGCGATATCTAGACAGATCGCAAACATATAGATTTCAGTTGAGGAAATTGATTAGTAGGTCCTAGGAAAAAAATCGAACTTTTTTCAGAGCAAAGATAGCTCAATTATGTTTTCACCATTGACTTTTTTAGGTCGAAACACTTCCTAATTAGGTCACAAAACCAAAATGGAAGCGATATCTAGACAGATCGCAAACATATAGATTTCAGTTAAGGAAATTGATTAGTAGGTCCTAGGAAAAAATCGAACTTTTTTCAGAGCAAAGATAGCTCAATTCTGTTTTCACCATTGACTTTTTTGGGTCGAAAAACTGCCTAATTAGGTCACAGAACCAAAATGGAAGCGTTATCTAGACATATGGCAAACATATAGATTTCTGTTAAGGAAATTGATCAGTAGGTACTAGGAAAAAATTCGAATCTAGTAATGATACATGAAAATAAAATGGTATTCTTGTACAGGAGGCGCCTCAACTCATTTGTTTTCAGAGATGTGAAAAAATATTATATAAAAAATATCGTTGAAACACAACCCAAACCTTCATTTCCCGAAGTTGTTTCATATACAGGGTCATTCGTTTTTCTGGAAAGTACATCAACTTTGATTTTTTTCAATGGAACACCCTATATATTTTTCAAGATATCCATAGAACCTTTCAGTTCAAACATGAGTCCGATCTAGATCAGTAGCGGAGCTACAGAGGGTCGAAGTATAATTATTGTTATTTTTATTGATTAAAATATCTCACTTAGTTTCGAAGACATCAATCTGAAATTTGGTGTGGTCAGTACTGACTAGAAGACCATCATTTTAATCAGTTTAAAAATGTTTCAATATCTACAGGGCTATACGTTTTCGGCTTCTTTTTACCCCCCCAAACATTTTTGTAATACGCCTCTGGCATCTTATTCCTCTTACCAAATTGGGTGGATCAATTAATTCAGAGGCTTTTTCATAATTTTCGAGCAAATCTGAAACGATGAAGATATTGTGTTTGTTGTAAATGTTATTTTTCAAACAGAAAATACAGGCAAACCAACAAAACCCAAGCAAATCATTTTTTTTTGCGGTTTTGCATGTTTGACCTCTTGTTCTCTCAGAATATCACACGCAAAAACATACAGTGCGACAGCAAGTTTTCAAGTTTGGCCGAGTTTCGGAGTGTCTGCCATTTTGTTTTATGAGAAAACGCAATAAATATGGAGTTTAAGTTTTGTCTTCTTCAATCCTCTTTCAAACAAGACAAAAATCCATTAAATCGGTCCAATAATTAAAGAGTTATTTCCCAAGAACAAAATTCCGTTTTTTTTTTTTTTTTGACAACCCTATACATTTGATGTAGTGCAGGAATAGCTATATATTGAGTAAAATATTAACAAATCACCCTGTATAAGAATGGAGGGAAACAACAGAATGTGGAAATCAATGGAAGATAAGAGTATCTTCTGGAGTATCCCTGGTAAATCAGGACATCTGGCAACAGCGGCAACCATGTAATGGAATATTACGAAACTGAAATCTCAATGATTCTTTCAAATTATGGAATTAATCAATCAGGAACTGAATGTTTTGTATTTTTTTGAATATCCAATCCAGATATTCAAATCATGAGTGATCTGTGATCTTTTATTCTGTTTTTTTTTCAATTGTGTAATAATGTGCAATAGCTTTAATTTGAATGTGGCTGCTGGCAAATTTCTTGTACAAGTCAGGTTGGCCGAGCGGTCTAAGGCGCCAGATTTAAGCTCTGGTTCTCGAAAGGGAGCGTGGGTTCGAACCCCACACCTGACAAATCTTTTTTTAATTCTATTGTGGATATTTAGACACCTGGCAGATCTTTTTTTAATTTCATTGTGAATATTTAGGAACTAAAGCACTTTACTTTGAAATTTAACATCATTTATTATTTTATGGCATGATAATATAACATTTTTCAGGCGTATCTTATACAACAAAAAGGGAAAGGCTGAAACAGCAACGTGGAAAACCTCTTAAAGGTGGAAGAAATTGGATTCTAGAGAAAAAAGAACGCAGAAGACGACAAGGCAAAAACGTTAGAGATGACTCCAAATATACGGGGCGAAAACGAAGTGGAAAATTTTAGTTGTTCATGATGAAAAATAATTAAAATAAATTATATCTCTAAGTTACATCGTCTCTAAGGAAAAAAATATTAATAACTAACAGAATTAACAAATTAACATTCAACAGTTATGAAAACAGTGGTGGTGGATAACCATCGACAAGGCAAAAACGTTAGAGATGACTCCAAATATACGGGGCGAAAACGAAGTGAATAATTTTAGTTGTTCATGATGAAAAATAATTAAAATAAATTATATCTCTAAGTTACAACGTCTCTAAGGAAAAAATTATTAATAACTAACAGAATTAACATTCAACAGTTATAAAACAGTGGTGGTGGATACCCATTTCTGGATTTTCAAGATGAAATAGTAAAAAAAAGGAGGGCCTGTCCGGGATTTGAACCCGGGACCTCTCGCACCCGAAGCGAGAATCATACCCCTAGACCAACAGGCCGTTGATATGATTAGAAATCTTATCAACTGAGAAGATAAAAATTGAATTGGGGAATAACCAAAACCTCTGATTATTATACATTGTTTCTAAATCGCTAATTAATAATCATTATATTTCAACTTCGTTTGCTCTTGATTTTCCTATAAACATCACAGAGTATGGTCCAAAATATAATAAGTTAGGAAGTTAGGTTAGGTATATCGTATATCATTTAATTGCCGTTTATGAGAAAAAATGGAAGAAAATAGTTTGGATTTGTATAGACAGACACCGATCAGGTATCTAGGTAAGCATCAATTTCAAAATTGATTTGAATGATATCGTGAAATGCTCAGAATCAACAATTTTGTTGCAGGATACGCAAATGAAGTGGGCGAGGCTTTCAGATCGATGATAGGAAATAGATGGGTAAAATTTTCTTATGGAGTTGCAACTTTGTATGTACTTGCAGATACAACAGACAAAAGTATCAAATCGTATGAGGTAAAAATTCTTGACCAATAACATGATTAATAATAGAGCTTTTATTTAATTCATATTATTGTATACTTATTAAACATGGTGGCATCAGTCTTCTATATATATAAACACCATAATATTGAGTTCATTGCTTCTGCCACTGTAGATAAGTATGCAGCCAATTACGCAATTATACCATATATTTGTTATCGCACCATATGTTGCCTATATTCAAGTAATTTTACTTTAATGGTACCGGGTGTCCAAAATAATAATCCGCCCCTATATTCTCGAAAACAAATGCATCACAAAAAAATTTCAATTTGAAAAGTTGCTCGATTTCCATTGAACATTCACTTTTTGAGATTTTCTCTGGAATTGTTCTCCCAGTGTTTCTGAAAGTGACCTGGCTGTACCTCAACTTTTGCTTTCCAAATGGAAGCCGGCACATAGCACGAAATATTCAGAATGTATTGCCACACTATTGCAATATTGCAGTTGCATTTGCAATATTTCAGATACTTTGCAGTTGAAATTTTGGAAGTCCTATTTCATCTAGATGGCTTTTGTAAAAGATTATATTACTTATATTGTATACATGAGAAACAATCTCATGAATCCAAAAATGTAGTGTGAAATACAGGGTGTTTAATAATATGAAAATTAGAAACTGCAGAGGGACTCAATGAACGAAATCTATCGAAATTTCAATATTCTATAGTATAGCTTGAGAAAGACACAAAGGAAAACTTGTATAGTCAGCTTTTTATTGTTAGATGATATTAAAAGTTTTGGAAGAATATACCTAAGTCAAATTCAGCATTACAAAGGAGAATTTGAAATAATTAAAATATAGTCCAATTAACGAAAAGTTTCAATTTGAAATTTGAATGATAAAAGTAGAAAGAATCCATCAATATATGCCACTTTTCAATACTTCGTTAAATCCTGTTGTAGGTCTTACTGGTTGTAGTGACAAAGTTTATGCCCGAGTTTTTTAAATAAATTCTGGGAAATTTTGTGAGAACACTCGACAATAAAATAACATACATTCATGTGTTTTTTGTCAAAGGGTTTCAATAGGAAAGTTATCTTCAGATGAATTTTCATAAAATTAGTTCGGAACTCTCCAGTTTCATGTCCACCTTGTACAGAATGGCGACCGATAAAGTCCAAGTCGTTTTCATTTTCAAATTAAAACAATTTCTAATTTTCGGGGCGGCAAACTGATGTGACATACATTCTGAAGCTAGTCTGAAACTAGCTGATGGTGAGGAATATAGCTAGCGAATAGGTAACGAATGAGAAACGAATGAAAAAAAAATAGAAGAAGAAGTAAAACTGGTAAACAAAAACATACATAACCACAAATGCACTCGGAGCAGGAATGCAGAGGGTAGTTGGCTTCATTCTGACAGGTTATGGTTTTGTTATTTATGCATCGAAATATCTCGAATAGAGCTCATCGATCCTAAACGAAAATATAATTGAATCAATAAATCACTATCGGCTACATTCAATGATACTATCCTTCCTAATTTACTGTCATCGGTCAGAACAGAATGAAGCCGACACCCATATGGCTGTCTGTCAGTATTTGGGGTGGTGTGGACGGACTCGAAGTATTTGGCGCTGTTGCAATATATATAATCTGCAACTTTCCTAGAAAATTGATCCGTTCTATTAAGGAACGAATTCATAAGCAAAAAAATGACTGACAAGTTATGAATAACATATTGTAATATAACGATAGTGAAAAATTATAGCTACTATCGCAAAATATCATGATTTTATTAGTAATCAACTTGCTATTATATCCTATTGCTATTATGATATAGGTATTATGCATTCAAAGAACTATTTCCGGAAATCTAGACATTGATGATGTCGGCAACATCGTACTGGCACAGGGAATCGTATTTTAACTCTGTGAATGTGGATTTTCAGAAAGTACGTCAAAGGAATGGTGGAGGAGCCAAGTTCCCCCTTTATTAATTTTTTTCTGAAGTGAAATTTGATCTTACGAAAAAAAGAAAAAATACGTATACAGGGTGGGCCACCAGTAACGCCTCGGTCTCTAGAAGGCTAACCACTTATCTTCTTGGAATTCTTCCTCTCTAGGAAGTTGCATGTCAACATAGGCTACCATTTGAAATTATTTTGAAACATACAGGGTGTCCCTAAAAAACCATAAAACACTGAAGTTAAACTTTTTTCTGTCGAACACCCTATATATTATTTCATTTTGAGATTCTCCCTGATGAGCTGATTTCAACGACCCATTATACTTGGGGTCTAGCAGTTATAATTACTGAGAGATGGGGTGTGAGAAATCGAGATTTTCCAAGTTCAAGAATTTTTTGTGTCTAAACCATTCATAATTGGTCAAAACGGCTCACATGTCCCTATCTCAACTTTTGATCAACTATCTACTGACATTTAATTGAAACAAATACAGGGTGGTGCAGAATTCAGAATCTTGATCACCCGGTATATGTCCCAATTAAATATCAGTAGATAGTTAATCAAAAGTTGAGATAGGGACATGTAAGCCGTTTTGACCAATTATGAATAGTTTCGACACAAAATATTCTTGATGTTGGAAAATCTCGATTTTTCACACCCTATATTTCAGTAATTATAACTGCTAGACCCCAAGTATGATGGGTCGTTGAAATCAGCTCATCAGGGAGAATCTCAAAATGAAATAATATATAGGGTGTTCGATAGAAAAAAGTTTAACTTCAGTGTTTTATGGTTTTTGGGGACACCCTGTATGTTTCGAAATAATTTCAAATGGTAGCCTATGTTGACATGCAACTTCCTAGAGAAGAAGAATTCCAAGAAGATAAGTGGTTAGCCTTCTAGAGACCGAGGCGTTACTGGTGGCCCACCCTGTATATTATTTTCTTACAAACTTCACAGTGAGATAAGAACCTCAATATAGGAAACTTCCCCATTATATGAACATGATAGTTTTCTAACCCCCTTTTTTTTTCAACGTTTTAGGCGAATCTAAACGAGAAAAACCATCTGTACAAAGTAGCATTCACCACATCGGACACTTTGACGTGGCAACTTCTAGCTTCCGTCGCAATTCCGGGGTACACGATAAACCGAGTTTGTGCGGCGTCCAACTATTTTTTGAAAAAAAGCGAAAAACTGCCAAAGAATGCCAGGAAATGGGTCGTCACTGGTATCGGCCTGTTCGCCATTCCTTTCATCATCAAACCGATAGACGAATTCGTAGATTATGCACTAGATAATAGTTTGAGGAAATTTCAACCTTAAGATGTGTTCATTTGCAGACTCAGTTAGCGGTTTTTGCTTATCGCACAAGTACAAACAGAGCCGGATTTAGGGGTCTGGAGGCCCTGGGGCAGCAAAGTAGTGGATACCCCCTGATTATTTTCCAAATATAATAAACAACTTTTTTTTCGGTCAATAATTTGTATAACTTATTATTTCAACTACAAAATTCAAGGGGTGATTCCTTGTGATTCAATTCAATTCAAAATATACTTTATTGTCGAAGAAAAAAATTCTTATTGACAAAGCATGAATTTGTATTAGATTTAAAATATATAAATAAAGCAACATATTGGACAACAGAAAGTATGAAAGTTTACATTAAGACAAGACGTAAGATTCTACAAACATTTTAAGAATGACATGGGTTAATAAATAATTTAAAATCAGGCGATTTGACCTCACAGGTTTAGGTACTCAAAATATGTATTGAAAATATTCTCCCAAGCTGTAATATGCTTTTGAAAGCAGAAGTTCTTTCACACGCTTTCCAAATGGTTTTAAGTCTGTCATCATACTTTTCATTTCAGCTGGTAGATGATTAAAGATCTTTCGACTCTCAAATATAATTGAATTTTTGGACATCGTTGAAGTTGGCTTCGGCAGAGGTATATTGGCTTTTTGTCGAGTGTCATATTCATTTTCTGAAGGAAAATTGTCTTTTTTTTTTGTATGAGACATACTGTTTCTAAAATGAAGATGCAATAAATTGTTAATATTTTATTCTTGATGAACAGTGGTCTACAGTGATCGAAACGCTCAGCTCTAGATATATATTTAACCGCCCTTTTCTGTAGAACGAATACAAATTGTATCAACTGCATGCTACAGAAACCCCAAAAAGCGATACCATATCTCAGATGCGACTCAACTAATGAAAAATATGTTGTTTTGCCTGCTACTATTCCCAACTCGTCGGTAATGAGTAATGACCCTGACAGCATAACAGCCCACCAAGCAAAGTTGAAAGCTATGTTGATGCAATGTTGATACAATAACTGAAACGGCCGTTCAGCAATATTGCAAAGGTGAAGTTTGATAATGTAGCGTTGCAGCAATATTACATGTTGCTGTGACATTGCTAGGACGTTACATCTACAAATTTACATTTGCTTTGTTACTGAACGTCTGTTTCAGTAATTGCTACAACCTTGCATCAACATAGCTTTCAAGTTTGCTTAGTGGGAGCCTGATGCAAATTTTTTGTTGAGATATTGTATGTGTTCATCAAACTTCAGGGTATTATCAATCCATAATCCCAAGAATTTGGTGGACGTCTTGTTTTCGATGACATGATTGTGAAGACTTAGGTTTCCAGAAGCGAATTTCAATGAGATTACGTTAGTCTTATTCACATTGAAACATAAAGAATTGGAATCACACCAAGATTTGACTCTCTCTAAATCAACTTCTATTATATTTTTCAAGGAGTTTATGTCATTTCCGTGCCATAGTAGGGTTGTATCGTCTGCAAACATTGTAAACTTTCCTTGTATGTCGATATCAGATAGGTCATTCACATATAGAGAAGGAACAAAATGGGACCAAGCACTGACCCTTGTGGAACTCTACAAGTAATTTTCGAGACACTAGAACTTTCATTCGGTAAATTCACCATTTGACTCTTGTCCGATTAATAATTTTGGAACCTCTTGAAGGTTGTTCCTTTGAAACCATAAGTGAATAACTTTTGCAACAGCACTCTGTGATCAACGCGATATTTTAGTACATAAATTTCGTATAAACATGTGTCCCAACGTGCTTCGATTTCAAGATACAGGGTATTAATATTTACATTGAAAAGCGTTTTTTATTCATTACTCGATTGTCTTTCCACCAATTTTAATAAAACGTTGTGATTTTGTTAATTGTAATATGGAGCTTCTTCCAGTGCAATTAGATTCGGAATAATATTTCCAGTAGCGTCACAGAGGGTAAATTTATCGATATTCATTGTGAATGTCATTGTACGCCACCGGTTTTTCATAGTCTCATATTTTTATTGGATTGAACTATTGAAATGACAACTTTTTTATCCTTTGTGTGATTTTTGTATTTAGCTTAGTTTTTGAGGAAACAATAAAAATTCGATTTGACTCCAAATTTTAATGTAGGTGTTTTCAACACTTCTATTGAATGAGATTACTCAATAACCCCGGTTAGAATCATTTTGAAATTTTGGGGCTCTCTGATCAGTCTCCATCCTTACTGAATTTCGCGCTATAAATAAAAACAATTAATACTTCCAACTTCAACATCCTATATCTCAATAACGGAGCAAGTTAGGACACATGTTTATATAAAGTTTATTTGCTAGAATATTACAAGGAAACACACCTTGAATTTGTTCGGTGTTATTTAGATACACCCTGTATAAATATAGTCATAATATCTGAAACTGAATTTTAGCGTTAACGAATGGAACATTGCGTGCTTTTTTATAGAAAAAAGTCGTTGATGACTTCGCTGAAATCCAATTCCCTGAGTTCAATGCTAAAAAGAGATAGCTTTATTCGAAAAACATCGAAAAAAACTTGTTCATGTAAAAGATTTTTTTTCCGAACTTTGAAGTCTCTATTGCGGGGCCCCTTTTTTTGAGGCCTCAGACGCCCTCCCCTAAATCCGGCACAGTACAAATCCCATTGGATTTCAGATTGTCAATTGTGGGAAATATTATGTAAAATTTTTTAAAATCGTTCTAAATCAGCTGCCACATATACCTGAACAATAATTTTAGATATTGTTATAATCACCTTACATTTATAACATTGCAGATATAATAAACGCCGATTTTCTACCTAGTATATATTTTTTGAATGGCATGTTTTTTGTTGTTGTTCAAGAAACATCGTTTATTGTCAAGGACTCGAAATTAAGTTCCATAATAGATATTTATGTATCAAGGACGTAAAGCAAGTTACGCCCGAAATACTTACAACATTTCATGCACGACCATTTCAGACATTTATTTACGGTCAATACGGCGAATTTATTATAATGATCTTGATTTCATTTGGCCAAATTAATGTATGCAACTGGCGAAGAAAGATCGAATGGTGTAGTCTATTTGAAATTACTTTACCGCCCGCTGTATTCCTTTGTCGCCCTAGGGCGCAAAAGTGTTACTTTACGCCCTCGAATCCTGGCGATGAAGTGCCACTTTACACCCGATCTTGCATAAAACGATATATCGCATGGTGAGTATTATACCTATACCTATATATACCTCTTTATCTTCCATGCTGGAGACATGTAGAGTGAAGCTGAACGAAATTAATCGGAAATTAATTTCATCCAAAAGAAATATGTCTGTGATATAATTTATAAAACAATTTTAGTCATATTTTTCTGAAAAAACTTGTTATAATTCGATTCTACCAACTAATTATCCTTATTATTATCGATTCATTCTTTTCCAGAATAAGTTAAACTACAGCTAAATGATATATATTTTCTGAAATTTCGAAAAATCATTGATGTATAGCTAGGTTTGAGACACATTCAAACTTCGTTGTATTCAGAATGAGAAGAGCTTTCAGAATCAGTATATACATGCATAATCAGGACCTTAATATTTAAAATAATTAGTTGATGATGGTTCTACGAATACAAAACGTTGCATAGAGAAATCAATATCACCACGTTGAATTTCATCAAAAGTTGCTATGGAAAAATGTTTTCAGTTTTTCTGTAAGTATATCTCCAATTATTATGACGTAGGAAAAAACAAAAATGAAATTCCAAAAATTATCTTTTTTCGATATACCCAACTTGAAAACTATAAATAATTTTGAAAACTTTCGAAAGCTGTTGGAATGACCCTCTGAATGCGCAACTTTCTCCCAATTTAACCGAATTGGTATATCATTATTATGTTCTTTATCATTTTGAATGCCATATTATCATAAAGACAAAGCCATTTCCCTTAATTAGCTAGGTATTCAAATACAGGGTGATTCATGGGGAGACTCACATAGCCAAATGGTATATAGGGAAAATCAAGACGAGTTGATGTATACATATGAATTTTTTTTTCAACCCTCGATAACGAAATATTTCAGAAATGACTTTTTTTTTTGGCATTCGGACATGGTCCATACAGCCAGTCACAGTTTTTTTATTTCATATTGATCCTAAAGCCTACCAGCAAAATTGGAAACTTTAATAGAAGGAAACATCAGGAGGAACAAAGAATCACAAGGTTTCTTCTCGCCAAGGGGTCCATCACGGCATTTCATTTATGAGACACACAACACTAGACCGCTGAAAGAGGGTATATAACACATAAGGTAGAACACAGAGGAACGAAGCTAAACTACTTCCATTCAAATCTTCAATCCCGTTTTCTGTATGAATTTTATGATACTTCGAGTTATTTTCTTATCATTAAGGGCTAAGAGGTTAAGCAAATTGATGGGAGTGGGAGTTTTCATATTCAAAAGATCAGAGTAGAGGTCTTGGCTTTCTTGTCTTGTGGTTCTGCAGCTGAAAAATATGTGATCTAGATCACCCTTCACATTGCAAAGCTCGCATAAGTCCGAGTTGGTTATCGAATGACTTATTGTACTCATATAATTTGGCAGCGACGTTTTTCTACTGAAACTATTGAGGATGGCATATCATGAGAAAAAAATCCAAGTCAGGACTTGGGAAAGATTCATGTTTCATTGTTATGTCAAAAAAGTTGACTTTGTGATCACTTTTCTCGATCAGATTCAGAAAGATCAGGTAAAATGCCCTAACTACTACTTGCACGGCACACTTTGACCGGTTTTTGAATCTGATGAAATAACCAGTATCTTCGTTATGAATGGCCAAAAAAAATGTTCAAAAATATATATATATATATATATACAGGGTGGCATTGAGATATGTACAAATATTTCTGAGAAAGCTCGACGTGTACTGTACCGACTGGCACTAATAACAAAAATTTAGGGATCAAAATGAAATTTGAGGTTAGACTCCTTTTTCCAACCAAAGTTCTACACTGTAGCAAATCTGACGTAACCTCTGTTCAAATTTCCATGCGGTAGGCACAATCAAGGGGAGTTCAATAACTTAAATTGTTTTAAAGGGGCGTAGGTACTTGATTTTTTCCTCGTATTTTGTTCAATTTTTAGGATGAAATTTCTCGTTAATTAGAAGAACTAGAAACAATCTGATATCATGGGTATATTCCTTAGACTATATCATATTAATGTGCTGAATATGTGCACTTATTTCGGAAACACCTTGTATATAATATACAGGGTGTATCTAAATATAACACCGAAAAAATTCAAGGGGTGTTTCCTTGTGATATTCTAGCAAATAATAAAAACCGGTGGCGTACAATGACATTCACCATGAGTATCGATAAATTTACCCACTGTGTGACGCCACTGGAAATATTATTCCGAATCTGATTGCACTAGAAGAAGCTCCATATTACTATCAACAAAACCACAACATTTTATTGAAATTGATGAAAAGACAATTGAGAAATGAATAGAAAAAAGATTTTTCATGGAAATATTAATACCCTCTGTATCTCGAAAACGAAGCAAGTTAGGACACATGTTCATACCAACTTTATTTCCTAAAATATGAAAAGGAATCAGCCGTTGAATTTTTTCGGTCTTGATTTCCCCTATTCACCATTTGGCCATGCGAGTCTCCTCACGATCACCCTGTATACTCGAATAAGTTTATACACTGTTCATTGAGTTGTCATTGCCAAGTTGATGGGTGGGTATTCACCAATGAATGTTGTGCTAGATAACTTGTAACAATCTTTGTGTAATGGAAGATTGAATGGCAGTATATGGTATTTATAGAACAGAAATGGATTGAAATTCACCACAGCATTCAGCTATCGGCCGCATGATATAGATGCAATGCAAACACAATTAACTTTTATCTAATTTTATCACAAACCAGAACCAGTTTAGACGACAATCGAGAAATAAAAAGTTGAACCTTCTGTACCATCATGTCTGATATCAAGGAATTCGAAAGTGTTGAACGGATTTTGAAAAAGCTACCACCGGAAGACTATGAAAATGTTCGACGAGTTTTGTATGGAAAAGCAACACGGTAAATATGGATAAGCAGATATTCATGTTGTACAGGGTCTTCACGTATTTTTTGAACCCCCACTTAACTTCTTTGTGTATCGTTACATTTTTTTTTCAAGGAAAGTTTTTTATATAGTTTTCCCTGTAGATTTCATATACCGGGTGACTCAGGAGACATGTAGCAGCCTGTAGTTTTTTTATTTGAAGATAAAATTTTGAAATTCACAGCGGGTATATAATAAATGGTAGCGCACGTTACGAACTTAACGACAATTTATTTCAACCACCTGTTTGACCAGAAGTGACCCCAACTTTTTTTTAATGTCACCCTGTACATTTCTTCAGTCTATCTTTTTCACCTAGAAATTCTTTATCCAACCATGTATCACAAAGTGGCATTTCTTTCCTAATTCGCTGTTGAATTGCTTTCTATTCAAAAAGAATAAGTTGGCTGTGACATGAATTCGATGATATTGGACACTTGGTAGGCTTTGAAATTCAAAGATCATTAGTAAACCGATATTATTCAAAATGTTTTGATATTCTGATCAATGTCTGCAGGTTGTCAATAGCTTGTTTGAGTCAAGATGAAAACCTTCGAAAATAACTCATGATATTGAGGAATCTAAGATAGGAACATATTTTTTCGAATTCAGCTACTCGTACAGAAACTATCTGTCTTTTCTTTTCGCCATGTACCTATCACATGATCTTCCCATTTGGCATAATAAAACTAAAAGTGTTCCTCTTATACGATGATCCACAGGGCTATCAGTCTATTTTTTCATAATTATTTCCCTTAGTAGGCGGTGTACCTACACAAAATGTTTTATGTGTTTGACAGTTAATCGATTGCATCAATAATTTTTCTTCTTCATTCGTGTGTTGATTAAAATTGCATATTATCAATAGAGACGGAAAATGTATTCAAGAAACGAAAAAGTCGATATACAGTGTGTCCCACTTACCATGCTCACCATGGGTATCTTTTTAACGGTGAGAGATACGAGGTCGGTTAAATGACACCAAATGTGGAGTTTGTCAAGGCCAACTATAATGTGGAAAAATATTTTGATAAAATCTATTCGTTTTTGATTTATACGCAAAAAAACAGATTTTGATCATTTTTATGTCTTCTCCGTAACTTCTTTATTCATGAAAATATTCAAATAGGAATTTCACATTCTCACGGCAGTTTTCTAAAGTGATTTCGAAAAAAATATGAAATTTATACCAACTCTTCTAGAATTTGAGATATCAGCACCAACTTCAGTTTTTCAAATGTAGGTCATAGCTCACTATGACTTAGTTACAAATAACTTTTTTTTCTCTCACCGATGATATGTCGCAGTAATAGTTTTGTGTTGATAACAACGGAGTTATCGTAATTTATACAAAAACAAAAAAAATATTTGTAAGACGCCATCTTGAATTTATAAATTTTAACAAAGAAATCATGATCTCCGACCTCGAAAACCCCCACTTACCAATTTTGAATAGAATCGGACCAAATCTTGTCTTCCATCTTGAAGCAGCCATTTTTTTCAATTTCAACAAAAATTCCGTAATGTATTGTCACTTCTGGTCGTCCGATTAACTAGAAATTTGGCAGGTGTTCATAATTTCGGTGACAATACATCATGGAATTTTTGTTGAAATTAAAAAAAATGGCTGCTCCAAGATGGCGGACAAGATTTGGTCCGATTCTATTCAAAATTGGTAAGTGGGGGTTTTCGAGGTCGGAGATCATGATTTCTTTGTTAAAATTTATAAATTCAAGATGGCGACTTCCAAATAATTATTTGTTTTTGTATAAATGACGATAACTCCGTTGCTATCAACACAAAACTATTACTGCGACATATTATCATCTGTAAGAGAAAAAAAAGTTATTTGTAACTAAGTCATAGTGAGCTATGACCTACATTTGAAAAACTGAAGTTGGTGCTGATATCTCAAGTTCTAGAAGAGTTGGTATAAATTTCATATTTTTTTCGAAATCACTTCGAAAAACTGCCATGAAAATGTGAAATTCCTATTTGAATATTTCCATAAATAAAGAAGTTACGGAGGAGACATGAAAATGATCAAAATCTGTTTTTTGCGTATAAAACAAAAACGAATAGATTTTATCAAAATATTTTCTCACATTATAATTGGCCTTGACAAACTCCACATTTGGTGTCATTTAAGCGACCTCGTATCTCTCACCGTTGAAGAGATACCCATGGTGAGCATGGTACGTGGGACACACTGTATTTATCGGTATATGCCAACAGAAAAACAGTTGAACATCTCAAAAAATACTTATGGGCAACATTTATAATTTTTTCAATATTTTATTGCATTTTTAGATCCTTCCTGGAGAGCTGATTTCATCGATGCATCAAAGTTGGGGTCTAGCTGAAATGATTACAGAGATATAGGGTGTGAAAAATTGAGATTCTCTCAACTTTAGGAATATTTTATGTCGAAACGATTCATTATTGGCCAAAACTGTTTTTAAGTCCCTATCTTAACTTTTGATCCACTATCTACTGCCATTTAATTGAAACAAATACAGGGTCATCAGAATTCTAGATGTTTCACCACCCTGAAAAATTCCTAAAGTTGAAAAAATCGTCTTCAACTTTTCACACCCTATATCTCTGTAATCATTTCAGCTAGACCCCAACTGTGATAGATCGATGAAACCAGCTCTCCAGGGAGAATCTGAAAATTCAATAAAATACAGGGTGTCCTATTGAAAAAATTATAATTGTTGCCCATAAGTATTTTTTGAGATGTTCAACTGTTTTTCTGTTGGCATAATATATGAAATCTACAGGAAAAAATATAAAAGAACTTTCCTTGAAAGAAAAAAAAAATAACAATACCTACATAAAAAAGTTGAGTAGGGGTTCAAAATATACGTGAAGACCCTGTACATATATACAGTGTGTTCATCATGATTCATGATTTGATGAAGGATGTTAAATATTTCATCACACTTGAGAAGAGTATTTTACCTGTGGTAAATGTAACAGACCAAACGTCTCCTTTTATTCAAACATGCTTGCTCTTGATGACGAATTTTACCGAAAAGCACCAATGGAAATAATTTTATTAATGAAAGTAATTTCCATCCACATAGTAATAAGGATTCACATCCACCGTATAAGTGTATTGAGAAACATACCATACATAATTCGTATCGCATACAGGGTGTCCATAAGTGATGAATCAAAAGTGGAGTGGTCCTACTACCCCACTTCTTTTGATCCATAATTTATGGGACACCCTGTATAGTTGCATTGGATTGGTCACGGTATTCTATTCGAGAAAATTACGGAGCTAGTATTGGTACCTCGAAATAATAGGCCTGTTCGTTTGTATTGCTAAACTTGCTAAAGTTCATTTTTTTTCCTTAGTTGTCTCTGTTCATAGCATGATGTAAACAAAGAAAATCGAGGTCAGCAGTTAGAGCAACCTATACTAAGCAAATTTGGATGCTATGTTGATGCAAGGTTGTAGCAATTACTTAAACGAAATATTGCAAATGTAAATTTGAAATGTAACGTTCCAGCAATGTCACAGCAACATGTAATATTGCTGCAACGCTACATTATCAAACTTCACCTTTGCAATATTGCTGAACGTCCGTTTCATTGCATCAACATAGCTTTTAACTTTGCTTAGTGGAAAGCACAAACGAACAGGGGCAATGATGAAACTATATTTTTCACTAAAACAGGCTAATTATGAATGTTCCAAAATTTCTCACAGGGAAATCGATGTTTCCGAGAAAGCTAAACACCTCTCTGAAAAATACGCCATCGAACTCGTCTCGTGTGGATTCGATAGCAAAGAGGAGGAACTTCGAAGTCCTAGGATTGTTCGAGTGGGATTGTTCCAACACAAAATCCCCATTCCTACTTGGAGTCCGATGAAGGAGATGAGAGAGGCGATGTACCAGATGGCTAGAGATGTGCTCGAAGTCGCTTACAGAGGAGGTGTCAATGTTTTTTGTTTCCAGGAAGCGTGGAGTAAGTGCAACTACAGTGTGTCTCACTTTAAACGGCCTTCCCCCTCTATATCTCAGTTATTAGTCATGCGATTCCAACCAAATTTGGTGTGGTATGAATAACCATCGATATGATCAGTTTTACAGAGATGCACATTATTTTGGACAGTGCCGTGCGTTTTTATTGAACAAAAAAGAGGTCGATTTTTCATAAAATCATACTAGGCATTTTTTTTACAGGGAATCTGTAAATCTGTAAAATCACCTAATTCCGAATTAACAGGATTGGCTTCATTTTTTTTTTCATTTTCAGTCTCGAATAAATAGTGACTTCAAATCAACTACGAATTTTGGAACGTTCAATGGCTCCGGTAGATGGAAAATCATGATTTGGAAGGAAAAACGAGTTATACTTTTTTATGTTGAACTCAGCATCGTTTCCGAGTAAATAATTATAACGTTCGCAAAAGTGCTGTTTAGATGTTCCTGTTTTTCTGAAACCCTTCATAGGCATCTTATGAAAATCCACATATGTGGGTTTGAAACCATGAAGAACAATTTTATGAGGTCAGTTTTCCTGTGAAAAAATGCCTAATATGATTAAATTAAAATGAAAAACTGAATTTCATAATAACAGAAATAATTATAAGGTTTCAAGAGTTTATCTACCATTATTGAATGAGGTGTAGGTATCAAAGCTATCTCAGTAAAAGCAAATTTGTATGTGCAAATATTTGAATAGTACCTATTTATACATATACCATATATACATGATTCAAGTGATAGGTATAATGAATACTAATCTATGATATTGGAAAAGCCGATTGTACATGGTAAAATGATGCAGTTTTATAATTCTGCGAGGTATCAAGATGAGATCAATTTGGGATTGAAACAAAATACTTTTTTTTTGATAGTTTACATTCTCCGAGACATTCTCCCACCGAAAACAATCCTATAACGTTGAAATTTCAAGTGGAACACCCTGTACGTATTATTCTCTGATGGAATTCAACATATCAGCCAGTCAAGAAGTTATACCTATCTTCAAATAAAAAGTCCAAATTGGTTAAAAATATTATATATTTGTTTTGATTATTCCTTGAATTTTGGATTATCAATGATCATCAACGGTGTTACCGTTCTTCAAGTTTTATCGATAAGTTTTCCACGAAAAATATGAAAACAAATCGATTGATGAAAGCACTAGTCTGTCAGAACGAGTGATCTTATCTGATTCGATTTAAGTGCTTTTGTCTCTCAAATACAGGAAGTTGGGTGATGAATAAGATTGCTCTTGTTATACGACGCTATACATAGTGGAGTATACTACGGCCTTGCCAAAAATGCTATCTCGGAAACTAAGCGAGATAGAGGTATAGTTACTTTGGAGAAAATGATCCCCCATCGAATTTTGAGCAACTTTGGTTTTTGTGTGTGGTCTGTCTGTCTGTTTGTACTCTGTGGTAATCATAAATCGATATATCTCCGGAACCCTTTGACATATCGACTTGAAATTTTGCCATCCTATTGTACTCAAAACAATATTATGTCATTAAAATATGAAGGAAATCGGAAAACTCTAAGGTGGTTTTTCCGGGTTTTTTCGATTTTTCACCGGAAGTTCCTTGTAACCACTCTACAAATCGCAAAAGTGGTCCGATCGATTTCATTTTTTGTGAGAAAAAACTCTATCAGGGAGAGGCGAAGCCTATTGAAATCGAGCAGAGTCGGGAAATTCCAAGTGGGTTTTCTAAATCCAAATTTGAAAAAATGCACCGTATGCCTCTTTGATGACGCAACAAATTATTATATTACCATTTTTTCGTGCATCCATCGGAAAATGGAAAAACAAATGAAAATCAAAACATCAAAATTTGAAATCCTTTCAATTCAATATATATCGAAAACAAATGGAAAAATCGAAAATTATCAGGAGTGCAAAGTTATCCACTGGAACATTTCCTACAAATTATTACTCATAATTTTTTCTGTAAACCCAATAGTACAGGAAATAAAGTAAAAAATATGAAAAAAAAAAATTTGAACGACCCATAGGGTACCATGAAGATATATTGAAAAACAAAGATTATCGATAGATGATGCTCATGGACTTCCACTGAACCATGGAATATTTTTTCCTTTTGTTGATTGGAAGATGGAACAAAAGTGTTGAACATTTTATTCTTAGATAATTCCAAATATCTCGAAAACAACTGGAAATATCTGAAAATGTTATAGAACCAACATTATTCCTTTTGATAGAATCTACAAAAAATCCGTATAACATTTTTCTCTGAATTCAATAGTTCGGGAGATACGATGAAAAAACTAAAAAATTTACAAGTTCCTAGATAATCACTTGCCAATAGAAAACAAAACAAAAAAACAAAAGAAAGTAAAAAAAGCACACTCGACTGTCTTGATTTTTTTCCACAAACTACGTACCTAGCTTACTCAACTATCTTGATTTTTTCCCACAAACTACTTACCTAGCTTACTCGACTGTCTTGATTTTTTCCAACAAACTGCGTACCTAGCTCACTCGACTGTCTTGATTTCCCACAAAGAAGAAATATGTTGGCATTGTTTGAACTTTCTTTTGTTTTCTTTTATTTAGTCCTTATTGGCAGTCGAGTGGGCTAGGTACGTAGTTTGTGGAAAAAATCTCCAGTTCTCTGAACTTCCATAGCGTCGTATACACATCTTTGGTGCCCAATGATAGTTTCGATATAAAAATATGCTCATGATATGGTGCCATAGCCTGTACTTCCATCTTACATGAGCAATGATAAAACATCATCTGCTTTTATAGCGTCGTATAAATTATCTGACCTCTATACTAATCTAATACCTAATGAAAACTACATCTATACTAATCTGATACCTTTCAAAACTACTTACCTCACTTGTTTTACTGTGTTAGATACATCAATGAGGTACTTTATTGTTTGTCATCAATTTTATTTCCGTATCTGATATCACAATGACTCCATTGTGTTATTATTTAAAAAAAAACTCATCGCTCATGAAATGTCAATTTGCAAGCAATGACAGCTCTGTCTAATAGATGAGCATTACTTGACAGGAAATCAGATGGCTACAAGACGAAGAAATCGAAAATGCCGCTGTTATCTACTATAGCCGTAGAAAAATTATAGTGTATAACTTGCACGGAATGCTAATTTCCTACTCAAATGATTGCAGCATTCGCCTAACACAACATATAATTATTAAACGTACACTTCTTATAGTTATTTATGTAATAAGGATCATAAAGACGATCATTATGGTACAAGTCGTGAATGTTATCGGGCGAGGCGTAGCCGAGTCCGATAACACGGCGTGTGCCATAATGATTGTTTATGATTCGTATTACATACAAAATTTTATCTGATGGCATTTATATCAATACATTTTCGAAAAATTAAAAACTGCATTTTCGACATGTCACAATGACAACTATTTTTAAAGGAGTAAGTATTGTGTAGTTTCAAATATTAGTAGGTGAGTGAGCTGTGCTTTGCCATTATATTAATATTACAAATTGTAGTAATTGTTCTTTTACCATTTATAATAAATAGTTTTGTACATAGTTATGCATTTTGAATAAACTTTTTTGATCAAACCTTTACATGTTTTCCTTATAGAATTTCATTATGGTACTTAGTCCCATAATGAGCTTCCTTATGTCATCAAAATTGAGTGACATAACGTTGTCATTATGACATGCCATCAGATAAAGTCATTTATATGCGTATTTTTTATTAGACATGCCCTTTGCTTTTTGTACAAGAGAAAAGCATCCTTGGTGTGAATATGCTGAAGATGCCCAACATGGACCGACAACGAGATTTTTATCAGAGGTATGTAAAAATGGAAATTTCTCTTTTATACAGGGTGGTCCATTTTTCCAGGACAAAACGGAAGATTTGAACAGATCCGAAAAAATAAGTGTCAAAACGAATACGAATTTGCCATACAAATATCCATTTTTAATGTTGAGAACGGGAGCAGTTTCGTTCCCGAAACGTCCAGAGATAAGTGAAAATTTGATATTTTTCTATATACCTTTATTTCTCTTTTCCAAACCTTTTTCAATACAAATTGTCACTGACAAAGTGAATTTTTCTTTTAGGCTCTCTAATAGGGAAATTCTGTAAACGCAGTGACAAAAAGTTTTTTGAACTGGAAGTTTGGCCACATACAAAAATAAAACTCTGTATAGATATCGCTCAGAAAGTTTGTATAGTACACTAATAGCATAGGTATATGGTGAATATACACAGTGTTGTGTACTTATGTAAATCGATGAAAAAAAAAACTGGACCACTCTGCATATCTGATGTCTTTTATATATTTTTTATTTATTTTTTTTTTGTTTCAACATGACCGTAAAAAATATTTTTCCAAAGTAGTATACTCAGATTTTAATTTCCAGATTTCAGTTTCGTAATGGCACTAGTACACTAGTGCTGTGAAGTGTTACTTTACCGCGCTAGTGCGGTAGAGTGAAAAAATAATTTCAATTTCCAGTTTTTTACTCAAAGAAATGAGAACTAAATAATCCTAAATATAGCAGGTACTAAATAGACCGGCAGGTGGGACATGATTTCACCCAGTATGCCTTTTGGAGGGTACATGAAAGAATCCTCCCGGGTTCTTTATGCATTGAAGTTAATTAACATTATTTGTTCGCAAATTAAACGTTTCGAAAAGACTTCACTCACGCCGCCTATGTTCCAAAATGAAATATAAGTGATACGTTAGTTGAAAATACAATGGCAAACAGGTTGCGAGAGCCCAAAAGGTAATCACGGCCACGTGTAGTTGCATTAAAAAAACATTTTTCCTCGTTTTCAAACAGGCTGCATTTGAGAAGTATTTTTTTACGGAAAAAATGTAATACCCTTTTGGGTATGTCCAAGTACACCTAAACCTTGCCAACATGCTGTAATGCATGAAGAACCCGGGAAGATTCTTTCATGTATCATTTTTTAACACCAAAATATATGCATAATGATATGATACCCTCTAAAAGGCATACTGGGTGAAATCACGTCCGAAAATCTTATAGACCTGCTGGTCTAAAAGTTTGAGCTGCTTCATTTGGCCCTCGGCCTCGTTTGACAACTGTCCCATCTCATATCGTAATATGAATCTTTACGGTACTCGTGGTTGTTTTCACAGAGATGAATATTTTTTGTAGTTGGCCAGCCGTTATAATATGGTGATCATCTCCCCCATATTAGAAAGGGACAGTGTGCACGGAAACACGATCTGGAACACCGCAGTGGTCATCGACAATCACGGGGACTATTTGGGAAAGCACAGAAAGAACCATATTCCCCGTGTCGGCGATTTCAACGAATCGACTTATTATTTGGAGGGAAATACCGGTCACCCTGTATTCGAGGTAAAGATCACAAATTTATCTACTTACTGAAACGGCATTTCTTACCTTATTTCAGGAAAAAAAAAAACCTCCAGTGGGAGATATAATTCGCGAGATTCACGAAGTGGGCGCCATCTAGGTTACATAATACGAACTTCAAACTGGGGGAAAACAAACTGTTGTCTATGGATAAAGTGCATAGACTACATTGCATTCAGCTTGCTGTAGCTGTAGTCAAACTTGTCAATGACATAAAGTGTTGGCACTGTTGATGGTTGAGTTGGTTAATTTTTTTACATTATTACATTTTTATTAGTTTGGTGAACAGTGAACAGGTAAAGAATTAGAGATAGTTTAAACAATTCAAACTAATTATGACGATCAAATCAATTGACATATAAAAGAACAGCTACAACATGTTTACAATACCCAGATTGTCCTGCTTTGCATGAACAAATACAAATCCATTGTTCTACAGGAGTTCCTCTGGACCCCAACTTCAATTTTACTTCATGTGTGGAAGATTTCATCGCCGAAGTTTGTAGACAGAGTGCAAAAATGTGCCGTTTGTTGAAGTCTTCTGCCTCACACAAAATCACATGATTAGCACGGAGAACGGCTTCTCCTTCCACTACTGGTCGGCTTTTTCCGTCTAAATAGAGCAAAATATCTGTCAAAATAACATCTACCAACAGGCATTATTAGCGCTTTCAACCGAATGTTGACAATTGATGTCAGGAAATTTAAAAACATCACTCTTATCAGTACACAGTACGCAAGCTATAATGGCACTAATGGGATTGAGTGAGGATTGAGTTTGTTTTCCCCCAGTTTTGACGTGGCTTTGACATGGAACGATGAAACCAAGCGCCACCTGGTAACATTGATTCCCGCGAATAAATTGTCTTCAGCATGCTTCCTTGGCGTGAAGAAACCTATGGGATCCGTGATTCGTGCAATTCAACTAATCGGTGTCCTTCATCACTATTATAAAACAAATAACTCTTGAGTATGGCATATTGCTTGCGTAGGATACGTCTTCTATGAAAAACCGAAAAACGCACAAGATTTTGAGGAGTGCTATACTTGTGAAAAATGAGTCGGGTTTTTCCTGTCACTATCTCCCAGTCTAATATTGCTGTGTTCTTTCTATACTAATATTATAAAGACGAAAGATTCGATTGTTTGTATTGAATAGGCTCCGAAACTACTTGACCGATTTGAAAAATTCTTTCACCATTAAAAGCCGGCATTATCCCTGATGAACATAGGCTACTTTTTACTGTGGGAAAATGCTTCTTTTCTACGGGAAAACGGGTAATAGGACAACCGGTAGTAAGAATTATCCTTCCGAACTTATCTTTTTCACATAACTTCTAAAGGGCTCATAAGAGCATTTCGATAGTTTCCTGGATGATTACCAGTGGCGGATCTACGATTTCTGGGGCCCTAAGCTTGATAATTCTTGGGGCCCTTGTGGCCCCTACCCATCATTTTTTCTCCTCCTGTTATTTCTTCTCACCAATTTTCCCATCTAACATTTTCTGACCAAATAGAAGCGAAAAATGCATGATGAAAATATATAGGATATAAGGAACAAAAAAAAGTGCATTCATTGATATGGTTTAGGATATAATAACAAATAAAAAAATCAGAGCCACATGAAATAAAATGAACGTAACTATATAACACTGACTAGGATCAGATACGTTCAAAATAAAAGAACTAAACCATAACGAAATTACTAGGAGAAACATACTATGATATCACTTCCAATTTTCTGATTCACGAATCTGCGAATACTTTCATTGCACCATCATAAATCGAACTGCTCATCAAATCACTTCCGATGGAAAGCATTCCCAAAGTTTGTTATGTTCTCTTCGGAATTAGGTACACAATTTGATTTGATCATTGATAATTTTGAAAATAAACGCTCTCCTCCGCAATTGGTCACTGATGGCAGTGTTGAAAACAAGTTCAATGTAGTATTTTTGCATTGAAAAACACGTCCATCATTCCTTCAGTATATAGGGTCCCGCCGATTTCATAGGAACATTATTACTATTTCCTCAACGGTATACGTTTTGCAGATGAAAAAAAATTGCCGTTCCTGAAAAATTGGAATGAAAAAACAGAAAATCATTTTGTTTTTACTGTTGATATTTTATCTAAATCGAAACGGCACATGTTTTTTTTTTTCAGTTTGCAAAATGCCATATCGAGGAAGTTATTGAACTTTTGTCGGATTTAAGCAACTTTCTTCCCCTTAACCGGCCCACTGTCGCTATGAGATCGGCAAAACCCTGCTTATGGTTTTCAACATTTTTGGAATGTTGCCGCTGCTTCTAGGTATATAAAATAAATACCTATTGCTCAAAAGAGAAATTCGTTTCAATCATTATTTCATCTATACAAACGAATGATATGGGAAAATAGTCATGCAATGCCAGAGCCCCTCGGGGGCCCCTGCAAGGGTCGGGGCCCTAAGCTTGAGCATACTAAGAGTACCGGTAAATCCGCCACTGATGATTACTAAACGGCTTGACCGATTGGGTTGAAATTTTAACTACGTAAAACAACAAAAAAAAAACAAAATATACTGAGAAATGGAAGAGAGTTGTAAGTATATTAGTAGCTACAGGTAAGCACAAAAAATTGCAAAAAAATAACAAAAAAATATGTACTGTAGATACGCGCATAGTTCAGAACGACTGCAACCTATGTCTTTTTTTTTCAAATGAGTACACCAACCGTGTGAAGCCTGGCCGGTCAACTAGTATATCAATATCGCTATGCGTCCGATGAAATGGATAGTTATCTTTGCTCCCTTGATATATAAATACCTAGCTATATTATCACGTTTCCAGAAGTTCGCTTTCTTGTCTGTCTTTTTGGTAAACATTTTTTTTATTGTTTACAGACTCAATTTGGGAAAATCGCAGTCAACATATGTTATGGCAGACATCATCCTCTGAACTGGTTAGCATTCGGCATTAACGGTGCTGAAATAGTATTCAACCCATCAGCTACAGTAAGTTGATTTCTAGATGTAATTCAAGTAATATAATCCAATTCAATAATATACATAATGATCTACATTATGATGAATGCATCCTGTACAGGGGCGGTGAGGGGGTTTTCATGGTTTTCTCCCTAGAAAACAACTAACCATTTATCTTTCATGTTTTTTAATTCTCTACGGTTATTATAAAAATTGTTTCACCTTCATGACTATACAATTATTTATTGGTTGGAAGTAGCTTTTGGTACCTCATTAAACATGAGACAAAGTTTGACTGGAAAACGCGTGCGATGGCGGAGAAAATGGCCCCAAAAGACCAGGAAAATAGGTTTTCGCCAATATCTCCTAAAATATGGCAGTTAGAGATTTTCGGTTCAGATAAAAATTGAAGTTCAGTTAATTTTCTACAAAAATGGTCCTTATCATTTTTCTCGAAAATTTGCCCAGTTTCGAGAAAAACGGCACGTAGCGCACCTCGAATAATGAGCTTCTGTTGTATGCCGGCGAGCACAGTCCGTGTATTTACACATCGGCAGGGGGACAAATTATTCAATAACTTTGTTAAAAATGCATATTTTCTCATGATTCAAAGTTCATGTGAAAGAGGAATTCTGCTGCTATCATACCCTGCGTGGCCGCATGGTTTGTAGCAGACGACCCGAGCGAAACGTAGAGCACACACGCGGCGAACGACGGAGGAACGAAAGTAATAAATTATAGCGTGTACATTTAGATATACTGGTTTTTTCCCGGGATATCAAAGGTATGACTTATATACATCGATGGAAAGGTGGGAATTCCTCCGTTACACTAATTAAGGTGTTAAAATGTGAGAAATAAAGAGCACGGAGAAAAAAACCACCGAAAAAAAAGTGCGTTTTTTCCTTGACCCCGCTTTTTCTAATTTTATTGAAAAATGGACGACTTCGTCTAACAAAATAATTGCACAATCGAAAAGTAGACCTTCTTAGCTTTCAAATGATGTATCATAGAAACCAATCGGATCATGTATGAATTTTTAATTGATGGTTGTTCACAAAATTTCCCCGCGTTCCAAAAACAGCAAAAAATTGGGATTCAATAGACAAAGATTAAATGAAAATTAAAAAAAAATTAGGGTATATAAATTTCAGGGATGACGAAGGACCTTATGAGGACCCATAATCAAGAGAATTTTGAGTGAAATAGTGCAATACAAAAAAAATAGGAACAAATTCCTGGCGAAGTCAAAATTGACCGGGAGCAGAAAGTTTGACCATGTTCCGATATGGCCAAAAGAGTCGAGCGTGGCTCAATTCACGGGGTATGATAGCAGCAGAATTCCTCTTTCACATGAACTTTGAATCATGGGAAAATATGCATTTTCAACAAAGTTATTGAATAATTTGTCCCCCCGCCGATGTGTGAATACACGGACTGTGCTCTCCGGCATACAACAGAAGCTCATTATTCGAGGTGCGCTTCGTGCCGTTTTTCTCGAAACCGGGCGAATTTTCGAGAAAAATGATAAGGACCATTTTTGTAGAAAATTAACTGAACTTCAATTTTTATCTGAACCGAAAATTTCTATCTGCCATATTCTAGAAGATATTGGCTGAAAACCTATCTTCCTGGTCTTTTGGGGTCATTTTCTCCGCCATCGCACGCGTTTTCCAGTCAAACTTTGTCTCGAATTTAATGAGTTACCAAAAGCTACTTCCAACCGGAAGATGAAAATAGTGCGTAATTAAAGTTAACTTTTTCCCTTTATTTATTGGACTACAATGAACCCGTGAGTTTTCTCAATAGATTGTCGTGGAGATGACTGTGTATTATTCAGTGTTAATTTTTGTTTTTTGTCAGGTTGGCGAACTGAGCGAACCCCTTTGGGGCATAGAAGCGAGGAACGCGGCCATCGCCAATTCTTATTTCACCTGCGCCATCAACAGGGTGGGCACTGAGGAGTTCAAGAACGAGTTCACCAGCGGCAATGGACTGCCCGCGCACCGAGACTTCGGCCATTTTTACGGATCGAGTTATGTAGCGGCTCCGGACGGTTCTAGAAGTCCGGTAAGTGACTAGAAACTAAAAAAAAGCCAAGACTCCATTTGTTGCTCAAGTCACGAGAAAATTCCATTCATCTAGGTGAAGATAAAATCAATACTAACACTGAGTAATTGATTTTAATATGAAATATATTGGGCAAACACGTCAAAGTAAATGCACAAGATTTTGAGAACATATTGCCCAATATTCAGTTTGAAAAATCAACTGATGCCAATTTTGTCTCTATAACCTCACTTCACAACCATATTATGTAACCTGATTAGGCTAATGTTATTTTCAGGGTCTGTCTAGAACGAAAAATGGCTTGCTCATTGCCGAATTCGATTTGAATCTTTGTCGCCAAGTAGCAGATGTATGGGGTTTCCAGGTGAGAAAATAAAATTAAGAACAGTGTCCCAAACATCATTCAACGAATTTTTTTTGAACAGCACTGTATGAAATTATTTTTTTGTGTTTTTTTTAGATGACCCAGAGACTAGACATGTATGCTGAACTGCTGGATAAGGCTACAACACATGATTTCAAGCCCCAAGTAGTAACAAAAACTACCGAACTGTGATTTAATGTTCAAATGGAAATTAGAAAATTTGATTATGAATGATGTGAAAAAATTGTACAATAATTTTGTTATTTTTTTATTCACATTTTATTGCACCATAAGGAATTACAGCAGAACTATAGCAGGTAAGATAATCAAAATGAAAATACTTAGATGGCACTTACTTTACAATTTATTTTGTTTTGTATAACATGGCACAGAATTCTTAGTAAGTGAATTGAAAAAAAATGGCGTCACTTACAACACAAGAAAGATCAATATTTAGCGAGTACGGTCAAGTTCAAATATATCAACATAAAAGCAAGCATCTAATTGTTAAGAACTTTCTGAAAATGGCAATTCAAAGAAAATATAATATAAATTTATGTAAACGTCATGGATTAAATACCAAAACCTTTCTTTTCAAATTCAAAATCTGAATCAACAACAATTTTTTTCATTTTTCAATTTAAGATCAACAATCAATATACCTAATCATATTATACTCATCTTAAATATTGCACGGAGTATTTTCTGAGCATTCGATTTTATTTGATTCCAAGTTCTTCCAACTGAAATAGAATAAAGAGTACATTAACATTTTTCAACAAAATTCACTGAATAATTTCGAAATATTTCTCATCAGCTTTAAAATCAAAATTGTGTATGTGAAAGCTGTTTTTATTCCTGCAAACTCGTGAAATCTGGTTTCATCTCTATAACATTCATTGTTATGCCTTCACACTGTATATTGTGAGAATACGGTCAAGTAGGTCTGACAGACCTACGTGACAGTCTGTCAATATAAGAAAAATATAAGTCAAGTAAAAGTCATCGTCATTGAATTTACAAAAAAAGTGCTCAAAGACATTAAATTTGGTCCTTCGAGCCGGAGTCATTATCACATATGTGTAGGACAGAGTACTTGTTCTGCACGTCTTTTCCAACTCGTCCATGAAGTATCCACCCTAAACTCGTCTTCGTCGCCATTGGTACATTGGACCATGTGATATTCATTTTCATGTATGTGAAATAGTTTTTTTGGAATTTGTTCTCATTCGTATAAGTATTGTTTTCACCAGTGTGGAACACATTTATATCTGCGCCAAATATGTTTATTTATTCAGTGGAATGAGTTTAATCGGGTGAAACTCATTTTCATTCTTACAAGCACTATTTTCATTGGTGTGAAATCTGTTTATATTTGTGTGAATTGTGTTTTTATTCGCGTGAAATCTGCTGTCATTTACGTGATGTTGAAAAATTTGTTTATTTATTCAGTTAAATGAGTTTAATTGTGTGAAATCCATTTTAATTCGTGCATGAATTGTTTTCATTAGTGTGGAATCTGTTTTTATATGTGTGAAATGTGCTTTTATTCACGTGAAATCTGTTTGATTGGCGTAAAATGTTTACATAATATGTGAGAAATTCTTTTATTTATTCAGAGAAATAATTTTGATTGTGTAAAATCCATCTTCATTCGTGCAAGAACTATTTTCATTATTTTAGTTCGTGTGAAATGTGATTTTATTTGCGTGAAATCTGTTTCCATTTGTGGGAAATTCGTTTACTCATTGAGAGGAATAAGTTTAATTGTGTAAAATCAATTTTCTTGTTGTTTTTCAAAATTACGTGAAATCGGTTTTCTTATGAATCTGTTGACATTCATGTCAGGTCTGTTTTCATTACTGTGAAATAGGTACCTCAGTGATATCAGTCTTCATTTATGTAAAAAAAATTAATTTTTTTAATTTGTTGAACATCATTTGTGAGATGTAGACTTTTAAACATATTCAGCTAATAACAGATTGGTGAAGATTCCTATAGATGTCACAAGGAATTTAAATTGTATTTTCAAAGCTGAAGAAAACATGAAATATATTGGACAAACTCGTCAGAGTATATACACACGACTTTAAGAGCATATTCTAGAAGTCTATTATCAGTTCAGTAAAATATGTTTCCGTTTTCATAACTGTGAAATAGTTACCTCAGTGATATCAGTCTTCATTTATGTAAAAAATTTGTTTGAATTTGTTGAACATCATTCGTGAGATGTAGATTTTTAAACATATTCAGCTAATAACAGAATGGTGAAAATTCCTATAGACGTCACAAGGAATTTAAATGGTATTTTCAAATCGCAAGGGCTTTCATAGCTGAATAGAACATGAAATATATTGGACAAACTCGTCAGAGTATCTACACACGATTTTAAGAGCATATTCTACACCTTTTCCAGATGTATTTCAGAAAGCGTCAATTTAATTTCAGAATAGTCACTTGTATTTCAGAAAGCGTCAATTGTATTTCAGAATAGTCAATTCAATTTCAGAAAGCGTCAAATGAATTTCAGAATATTCACTTGTATTTCAGAAAGCATCAATTGTATTTCAGAATAGTCAATTCAATTTCAGAAAGCGTCAATTGTATTTCAGAATAATCAATTCAATTTCAGAAAGCATCAATTGTATTTCAGAATAGTCAATTGAATTTCAGAAAGTGTCAGTTGTATTTCAGAAAGTATCATTTGAATTTCAGAAAGCGTCAATTGTATTTCAGAAATCTTCCTCTATAGACTGAAAGCCAGCTACCGCCAGACGCCATTTCAACAAGGTTGATATTTTCTATGAGTGGTATATCTTATTCGATGGAATCGTTTTGTGGGTTGAAAATCTTCAGTACTGGATGAGCTTCCAAGAGATACCGGGTGTTGAAAGTACAAAAAAAACTGGATAAACATCATTTCAACAAAAACTGATCTTTTTATGTTCATCCTATCATGATAGAGAATATACAATTGCCAGACACTTTCCACGGGGTGTTCTCCTGCCAGGCAACTTCATAAGTCGTGAAAATATTATGACATTTACGACATAGCAACAGAGCTTGATTTTGTAAATGTTATTAAGGAGCCTATTCTACACTCTACAGTATCACAAACAGCTAGTCACTTCCGATTGGACAAACATGTAAAAATCAGAACTTTTTTATAGCAATAGAAAGAAGTTTATCTCTGATTGTCCCCTCTACATATACCTGAAATTCTGTGATCTGTTCATCAAATAGTATATAGGTACCTTAAAGGTACACAAAAAAAATTTTGGGGTGAATAAAATGAAAACATCACTACAGGAAGCACAGAACATCCTATGCATTCTTACATGGAGTGCACTTTCTACTAACTAATCGATCTTGATGCATTCTGAAATTCAATTGACGCTTTCTGAAATTCAATTGACGCTTTCTGAAATTCGAATGATATTTTCTGAAATACAATTGACGCTTTCTGAAATACAAGTGACTATTCTGAAATACAATTGACCCTTTCTGAAATTAAATTGACTATTCTGGAATACAATTGATGCTTTCTGAAATTGAATTGACTATTCTGAAATACAATTGACGCTTTCTGAAATTGAATTGACTATTCTGAAATACAATTGATGCTTTCTGAAATACAATTGACTATTCTGAAATACAATTGATGCTTTCTGAAATTGAATTGACGCTTTCTGAAATACATCTGGAAAAGGTGTAGAAGTCTATTCTGAGTTCAGTAAAATATGTTTCCATTTGTGGGGAATTTGTTTACTTATTGAGAGGAAGAAGTTTAATAGTGTAAAATGAATTTTCTTGTTGTTTTCTCTAAAATTGCGTGAAATCGGTTTTCTTTTGAATCTGTTGTCATTCGTGTGAGGTCTGTCTTCATTACTGTGAAATAGGTACCTCAGTGATAACCGTTTCCATTTATGTGAAAATTTTGTTTTGATTTGTTGAACATCATTCGTGAGATGTAGATTTTTAAACATATTCAGCTAATAACAGATTTGTGAAGATTCCTATAGATGTCACAAGGAATTTGAATGGTATTTTCAAATCGCAAGGGCTTTTCTAGCTGAAGAAAACATGACATATATTGGACAAACCCGTCAGAGTATATACACACGATTTTAAGAGCATATTCTAGAAGTCTATTCTCAGTTCAGTAAAATATGTTTCCGTTTTCATAACTGTGAAATAGGTACCTCAGTGATATCAGTCTTCATTTATGTAAAAAATTTGTTTGAATTTGTTGAACATAATTTGTGAGATGTGGATTTTTAAACATATTCAGCTAATAACAAATTGGTGAAAATTCCTATAGATGTCACAAGGTATTTAAATGGTATTTTCGAATCGCAAGGGCTTTTATAGCTGAATAGAACATGAAATATATTGGACAAACTCGTCAGAGTATATACACACGATTTTAAGAGCATATTCTAGAAGTCTATTCTGAGTTCAGTAAAATATGTTTCCATTTGTGGGGAATTTGTTTACTTATTGAGAGGAAGAAGTTTAATAGTGTAAAATGAATTTTCTTGTTGTTTTCTCTAAAATTGCGTGAAATCGGTTTTCTTCTGAATCTGTTGTCATTCGTGTGAGGTCTGTCTTCATTACTGTGAAATAGGTACCTCAGTGATAACCGTTTCCATTTATGTGAAAATTTTGTTTTGATTTGTTGAACATCATTCGTGAGATGTAGATTTTTGAACATATTCAGCTAATAACAGATTGGTGAAGATTCCTGTAGATGTCAGAAGGAATTTGAATGGTATTTTCAAATCGCAAGGGCTTTTCTAGCTGAAGATAACACATGACATATATTGGACAAACCCGTCAGAGTATACATACACGATTTTAAGAACATATTCTAGAAGTCTACTCTCAGTTCAGTAAAATATGTTTCCATGAGTTGATATTTCTAGTTTTGAGATAAAAAGTTGAATCATTTTTTCTTTACCTCTCCCTCCTCATCGACCGAATCGCTTTCATCGTCCGACCCGTGAAGAGAAGCTGCCGGAGTCGTAACTTTACTGGAAGTGGGCGATGGCGGTTCGGATATCGGCCTGGGGTACCTCAGGGTTCCGATACCCAACTCCATTTCTTCCTTCAATTCGGGGAACACTTTGTGCAGGGCTTTCATTCTCGCTTGCCGATAGTACTAAAAATCAAACAGGAAAGAAGCGAAAATTTTCGATAGATACATTATTACACAAGGTGCCCAGAAACTGTCTTACCGAACGGAAACGCAAGACATACTGGACGTTATTTTATTTAGATTTGAATAAAACTACGATAATCCAAAAATACTTCCTAGATCATTGAACTAATGATTTTCAACGTACACAGCGTTTTTCTTTGTTTTTTTGTGATTTGAAAAAGCGAAATTGACTTAAAATACGGTGTACCGCATCAACTTCAAAGGGTTGGTAGCAAATACATTGTACTTTGTACTGATTTTGAATATTTCACGTACCGTTTTTTGGTGGAATCGACTTGTGGTTTATCAACACACCAGAAATCACCAAGGAAATCAAATTGCTACTTTAAACCCGCTGATCCGGGCAATAAGAGTAATTTTGAGCTCGGTCGGGCACAAATTATAATTTGAAACAATGGCTTGTACACCAATGCAAGCAATTCACTCAAATTAAAAATTAGGGAATGAAACAATGGAAGTATGATTGTAACTTTTCGTCTGACATGTTCAACATACCCCGTCCAACTTCTCATCAATATATAGATCCTCAGAAGATTGTTCAGTTTATTTCCAGGAGGTTGTTGTAAAAGTGATTTTTAGAGATTTATCTTTGATTGATTTCAATTTGTGAAAAATCTTCCGCTTTCTGTTCTCAATAATCTTGAAGAGATATCTAAATAATGTGTTCCTTCATTATTTTATATAAGTGGATAACGGAGGTATACTTAGTATACATTACAAATGAGAGTGGCCCTGAAACTGAACCTTGAGGCACACCATGTTCAATTGGCCGTAAATCTGATATGACAGAAACAAACTCTTCCCGATTTGTCGAATAAAGGATTTCAAGACATTGAGGAGAGTCCCTCTGGTGCCACAGTGATGAATCTGTTTTTTTTTCTTACCACTCCTAAGTTTCTCCAGTCCAACATGTCGCTGAGTCTTTCCGTTCTGTTTCTCTGTATGATTCTTTGCCTCCTGCTGAGCCTAGCAAAATCGTACATATACTGAGCTAATTGCTGGACTGTTTCTTCCAATGATATGTTTCTACGATCGACGATATAGATGCCGTAAGACATTGGGTCTGTGATATGTTCCTGCATGAAGCAACCGAAACCTAGAAACAACCGGAAATTGTTCTTGTCAATACACCATTTTTTCATAGCGGAGATATACATGGTGACGACTTTTAGAAGGTTTTGATCAAGTGATTCTTCCATGAATCTGTAAACTTCACTTTTGTAAAGAGTTTGACCTCTTTCGGTCGGTATCCCACATGTTGCTTCTTTAAAAACGATGTTAGCTTGAAATATTGACTCAAATTCAAGTTTATTTGGCACCATATTCAAATTATACAGGGTGGCTTGTAAGAAGTGCAAATATTTCAAATTTAGGGATCAAAATAAAATTCGAGGTTAGACACTTTTTCCACCAAAAGTTCTACACTGTAGCAAATCTGACGTCACCTCTGTTCTAATTTCCATGCGGTAGGCACAATCACGCGGAGTTCAATTATTAAAATTGTTCTAAAGTGGCGTGCTTGATTTTTTCTCGTGTTTTCTTCAATTTTTTGAATGAAATTTCTCGTTAATTAGAAGAATTAGAAAAAATCTGATATCATGGGAATATTTCTTAGACCGTATCATATCATTAATGTGCTGAATATGTGCACTTCAAAAACACCTTGTATATTATTTCTCATGTTTTTGTTGAGATTTAGCGGGCAGTAATTTCAAACTTGCAGAGTTTGCTGCCTCTAATAGGATGGAATCTGATAGCTCATCGTCAGAACTGCTCTTTTTGATAGCTTTTAAACCTTTTTTGATTTGATGAATAGAAAAGTGTCGGTGTTTTTAGATTCTTGCTGACAGAAACCGAGAAAAAATCTGACATCATGTCAAATAAGTGCACTTATTGTTGTTTGACAATATTATTTATCATTATACAAGGTACTTAATTTTTTTTGTCTGTTTTAAGCTGAAATACATACAAATAACGGGAAATACAGTTGAAAGGTAAAGAGGAATACACTTGCAATGACCTCTCATACTGCATAAAATAGCCTACAGCAACAAAAAGGAGTTCAAATTCTCCAGACTAGTGAGATTTTTGAGAAGTTTAACTTTTTGTACTCCGTGCCGATAAAGAGTCTTAGAATCAAATTTTTTCTACAAGCGTTCGTGATTCACCCTATACCCGCACACAATATGGTTTGGGAAGTGTGATTTTCCCACACTAGTGCAGGACATTTTTTCCCACACTTGTGCGGGATAATATTCTTTTCGATTCAGTGGAATTGCGATGAAAAACTTCCTGCTACAGATGCGATACATATTATTTATTGCCAACGAAGTCTTGAGAAAGGTATGAGAAGCACTACACGGGATTTATTGAATGGTGCAATAGGAAAAAAGGTTGAACACCAAATAAATAAGAAGTATTTTTGGCTCATTTCCTAGAAATGTCTGAAAACTAGAGGCCAAACACCATGGGCATGCTATCTTCCTCAATAAGCTTACCTACATAATGCTTCAAACGGTACACACAATAGATATATCACTCATTGATAGAAGATAGAGAATATCAGTGGCGGCTCGTGACTTTCATGACAGAGGAGGCTGAAAGATATGAGATTAATTGTGAAAAACAACTCTCTACTCACCCAAATCAATAGCTTCAATGACATTCTGTTTACCAGTTACCCTGAACTTAATACTTAATGAAGAGATGTGTTCCTGTGATTTGCAGTGTCTATCCAATCCGCGAGGCAAATTTTTCAAATCATTATATCCTAATCGCATCCAACATGATGACTTATCGGTTGAAAATAATACGCAGTACCAACAAAATAGCTCATTTCTTACCTCAGATCCCGTCAACCAGATATATTTTTTATAATTATCAGAATTGAACCAACGATTTTGTTTGTTACCTGTTACAATCAGATTTTTTAATTCCGGTATCGGACGTTTGTTTTTCACAATCAATTCATCTTCATAAGACACAGCACTGAATGGGTTCACCAAAAAGTATTCCACTAAATCGCAATCGTTTAAAACACTCATTTTTCAGAAATTCATAGAGCCCTTAACCATTAACCTAACAAACATAAACAATGCACTCGCGTTTGTCCCCAATTTGCGAAGCGACACGACAAACACGTGCTATTCGGGCGTATTCGGGCTTTTGCATTGCGCGCGTAGGTTGCGCGTTATGAAGGAGTCTAGCCTCCTATAGATGTTGCCAGGTTGAATATTTTACGCGTGATTTGCAGACTTCAACGAGTTATGCGTGGGCAAGCATTGTTGCCAATTCGAAAATATTCAACTAAAAACAGGAAATAAAAACAAAATCCATGTATTTTTGGTGTCCTCTCAATGAGAAAGTATTGATAATATTAGTTTAAGGAAAATCTCTGAGGAGGCTCAGCCTCCGTTGCCTCACCTGAGGAGCCGCCACTGGAGAATATATCGCTATTGTTAGCTGTTCCTATTTGCAGGAATAATTGATTGAACAAATCAATCAATTTCCTACGCTTGTAGAAAAAATATTGTTCCTAACTCATGCGGAAAGTGTCTTTCCCGCACTCAACGGCATTCGCGTGCGGGAAAGTATCACTTTCCGCACTTGTTAGGAAAATTACTATTAAATTTTTGACTCACCTGATAAATTCGTGGTTATGCTGGGAATGCCCATCACGGTACATTCGGCCGGGGTGTAGCCCCACGGTTCGTAGTAGCTGGGGAATACCCCCAAATGGCAGCCTCTGACGAATTCGTCGTAGTCTAAGCCGAATAGGGGGTTTGTCGAACTGAGGAACTCCGGGTGGAATACGATCTGATCCAAAAAATATGCGTTTCAGCCAATTTCGTTTGGAGACTTTACAGCAAAAAGTTCAGATGATTATATGTAAAAACTTCACAAACGATAAGATTTCCACAACATGTTTCGCTAACACAGTAGCTTCGTCAGGTGATATACTGGTACAATGAACTAAACCAACCTTGGCTTGCTCAACTTTTATATATCTTACTTTCCCAACTTGAAGGATTAGTTACCTGTGGACAGGTTCGATAAACCATTTTCGGAAATCAGGCACAATATCTACATTAAAATACAGTGTCCCGGATTAATTTGAAAGGGTTGATAGCAAATAATTAATAAATTAGTAGGTAATAATATTTTCTAGACCAAAATTTGTTTCCTGTTTCAAAAACTCATTTGATGTTCGTGAATATGGTTTATTCTACCTGTCTGACCAATATATGTATACCATGGAACGAGATCCACAGTTCAGTTCGTATACTCCTGACTTCATAAGAACTCAATGAAAAAACATATTGTATGCAACAAACGTTGATTTGATAGACCATAGTCTTCCTAAGAAACTAATAAAACAATTCAAGAAGTTTATCATCAATAGGAATGATCAAAATTTTAGAATTTTTATGGTCAACAGAAAAATTAGCTTCATTTCAACTAGTCACTGGATGGTATTAGTTATAGATTCAGTGACTAATTTCAAAACCAGGAACATGACAGTTACTTATAGAACTGTAATGATATTCCCCTTAGAGGGGCTTTAGAAACCTCAGCAGGAAGGCAGGAGTACAACGATCATCCTGTATCACGCATCCCAGATTGTTCTCCAACCTCTCAATGATTCCTACATACACCAGCATATTTCCGAACACTCAATGTATGCCGCAGTGACAAATAACGTGTCAGAAGATTCTGGAATGTTCTGGAAACAATCGATGGAACAATTAGAGAGAGATGTTTTGTTCTAAGAAGCTTCCAGAACAAAAAGAAGGAGACGGAAGATCATTCGAGAAAGTTCTCGAACCAAAGCCTGCCAAGTGATCTCATATATAAACGACCGAACAACTGCAGTCAGTCAGTTAAGCAGCGAGTGTCAGAGAGACAGTTATATACCGCGTGATATAAATCGTTTTACATAAATAGTAGTTATAAGTTCGATATAAATTAGTGTTTCTTTAGTTTAAATAAATCAGTTTGAAAATAAATAGTGTCGTGTTCGCTTCTGCACCCGAATAACGTAACAGAACAAATAAAACATTGAGAATGTTCATAAGAAATTATGAAGAAAAAACTATTCCACCTGTCTGAACTATTGTTCAGACAGGTGGAATATTTATCCACCGTATTCATGAACATCATGTGAATTTTGTAAGAAAGAAAACAAACCAAATAGAAGAAAATCATAGTTTGACGAATATTTCGAAATTTCACAATTAGACAATGGAGAAATGAATATTAATCATTTGAAATCATTACAAATCAACCAACAATTCACCGCTATTTCGTACTGCAGATTATTGTGCATACTTTCCAAAATGCAGAATTATCTAACCTGCTCACAGATAATTTTAATCCTTAAGGTTAATCAAGAATATTTAAGTTAGGCTAGTCAATGTTAGGTTAGTTTATTTTACGAGTATTTCACTTACAGAAGCTACTGTTTTAGCGAAATCCTATAGTCATGGAGTTGTTGAAAATATTGAAATGTGAAATTTTTGCACTCACTTTGACTCGGTCATTAGTTGTATTGAATAAGTTGCATCTCCTGATTGAATTCAATACTGGGTCATTCCAATCATCAACAACATTATGGGTAGTTACAGGGGGAAGACCGTCCCTTTGCAAAGAATATATACATCTTTTCAGCCGAACCATTTCTTCTTTTTCTAATAAGTCGTTCGCTGAAGGTAAATGACCGCTAAAAAAATTGATATTTTTTCAATAGCTTCTAATTTGAAATGATTATCTTAACACAGTTTTAACTCTGGTTTTAATTAAAGGGAGGAGAGAGAGAAAAGAAGTTTGAAAAGAGAAAGACTTAAAGATTTGATTTGTCCGAAAAAAATTTCGGTTTTTTTACGAAAACTAAGGTAATAGTAGAAGATCCGAACCTAAGTCGACCTTCACCGAGCTGATAATAGAACGAAATATATTTTATCATGAATTTAGTATATTAGAAAACATATTAAAAATGGGTTGCCTAAAAAAATCCTGGGCAGACTATTTTTAATTATTTTTCGAAAATTTATTTTTAATTAAATGTTGCAACATCAGGATAATAAAAAAATTGTGTCCTGACTGAAAGTATGAAACGTATAGAATGTGCAGCCGTTGGGGTGTCTACTATTTACCTGGGCGAACTACTGGGTTGTCAGGTAAACACAGGTATATCGATGCCAGGTACTTTCACTGGATTGGATAATTTAAAAAAATGTATATCATCATAAGCGCTGTTTAATTGCGAACACGTTGATATAGGGTTGTCTGCGAAAATTCCGGTCCGATTAGGGGTTTTTAATTTCAACGCGCGTGGAAGTGTGTGACAGAGAGATCCGAGGTAAGTATACTGTGTGATAATAAAGGACCCAACATCGCAGTCGCTTGTGATGGGACCCTGAATAGTAGAAAGTGTGCGAAGTCAAATCCTGAAAAATATGGTTGGCATTTTGATGATTTCTTAAAACCAACAGGTTTTATCGGAGATCAAACTCCTTTGAAAATCCAGGACATTGTCGAAATGGAAGCAAATGAGGAAGAATCTAATGAATCAGACGAATTCGAGAGTCAAAATGATACTTCTGATGAATCAGATATTGAATAGAAAATATTTATTAGAATTTATTTTTCATTAATATTATTTTTGTATTTATACTGTTTTTTGATAAAATTTCAAATCGTAATACAAGATGTCTAGTCTATCTTTTTTGTTATTTCTTAATTTAAATTTTTGGCGGTCCACTTTGTTTCTATTTCCAGAAAGAGCAAAAAAATTTCAAAGTAAGTATTTGATATTTTTATTGTCTATTATAGATTATAGATATATCATTATGGTTATAACGCAATATACTGATATTATATTGTTTTTATATATTAGTATTATATTAAATATATTTAATTATTATGTAATTAATTAATTATTTTTTTTTGCTACTGAAATATCAGTTGCTCCAAAATAACACGCACTGTTTACTATATGAAGGGTAGTAGAGGTACCTCTACCCTCCATAGTTTACACACCGAGCATGCGCACTTTCTACTATTCAGGGTCCCATCACAAGCGACTGCGATGTTGGGTCCTTTATTATCACACAGTATACTTACCTCGGATCTCTCTGTCACACACTTCCACGCGCGTTGAAATTAAAAACCCCTAATCGGACCGGAATTTTCGCAGACAACCCTATATCAACGTGTTCGCAATTAAACAGCGCTTATGATGATATACATTTTTTTTTAATTATCCAATCCAGTGAAAGTAACTGGCATCGATATACCTGTGTTTACCTGACAACCCAGTAGTTCGCCCAGGTAAATAGTAGACACCCCAACGGCTGCACATTCTATACGTTTCATACTTTCAGTCAGGACACAATTTTTTTATTATCCTGATGTTGCAACATTTAATTAAAAATAATTTTTCGAAAAATAATTAAAAATAGTCTGCCCAGGATTTTTTTAGGCAACCCATTTTTAATATGTTTTCTAATATACTAAATTCATGATAAAATATATTTCGTTCTATTATCAGCTCGGTGAAGGTCGACTTAGGTTCGGATCTTAGACTATAATGTGATTCAATTCGAAAATTGTTCTTCCAAATTTCTTCAATTTTTTTTTTCATTGCTTGGGCAAAAGTGAAATAGTTTTTATGGGCATTCAGAATCTATTACTAGAAAATGCAAAAAATAAGATGGTATTTTTTCAATGCAACATTGAGATTATCTTTTGTCAGTCTTTGGTATACAGGGTGTATCTAAATAACACCGACAAAAATTCGAGGAGTGATTCCTTGTGATATGGAAATACAGGGTATTAATATTTCCATGAAAAAACGTTTTTTGATTCATTACTGAGTTGTCTTTTCGAAAATTTCAATCAAATGTTGAGGTTTTGTTAATATTAATATGAGGCTTCTTCTGGCGCAATTAGATTCGAAATAATATTTCCAGTGGCGTCACTGTGAGTAAATTTATCGATATTTATGGTGAATGTCATTGTACGCCACCGGTTTTTCTGAGTTTCATAGTTTTATTAGATTGAACTATTGAAATAACAACTTTTTTATCCCCTGTGTGATTTTTGTATCTAACTTAATTTTTGAGGAAACAATAAAAATTCGATTTGACTCCAAATTTTATTGTAGGTGTGTTTTCAAGACTTCCATTGAGATTACTCTATAACCCCAATTAGAATCATTTTGAAATTTTGGAACTTTCTCAGTCTCCAACCATACTGAATAAAAGCTCATACAGGGGGGTTATAAATAAAAACAATTAATGCTTCCAACCCCAACATCCTGTATCTCGAAAATGGAACAAGTTAGGACACATATTTATATGAGCTTCATTTGCTAGAATATCAGAAGGAATCACCCCTTGAATTTTTTCGGTGTTATATAGATACACCCTGTAGATCTAAGGCAAGTGTAGAACGCCAGATTACAGTGTTGCTATTTCTGGCGTTCTACAGCTGCCTTAGAATCCATATTTTCGAAAACTGACAGAGATAACCTCAATAAAGTATATACAGGGTGGCATTGGAATAAGTGCAAATATTTCAAACACTGAGGAAGCTTGACGTGTACTATCGAATGGCACTGATAAAAAAAATTTAGGGATCAAAATAAAATTTGAGGTTAGACTCCTTTTTCCAACCAAAGTTCTACACTGTAGCAAATCTGACGTCACCTCTGTTCAAATTTCCATGCGTTAGGCACAATCAAGCGGAGTTCAATCACCATTTAAATTGTTTTAAAGTAGCGTACTTGATTTTTTTGTCGTATTTTGTTCAATTTTGGGGATGAAATTTAGAATTAGATAAAAATCTGATATCATGGGAATATTCCTTAGACTGTATTATTTTAATGTGCTGATTATGTGCACTTATTTCAAAAACACCTTGTATATATTTGAATTCAGGAGAAAGATCTCTATCGATTGGAAAAATAAAATTCAGGCTGTTTGAAAAATACCATCTATGTAAAATTTTCAGGTTCACGTTTTTTTTTATTTTCTAGTAATAGATTCTTAATGCCCATAAAAAATAATTCACTTTCGCCCATTTCATGTTTTCTGTAAAACCAATAATCGAAATTATACTAGACGTTCAAGTTCATCTGCCATCAAACCACATGCTATCATCTCTCATCCAAATAGAAAAAATTAATGTAAATGAAGCTCAACACTTCGTTTTGGCTATACAAGGTTTTGAGAAATTTATATTTTTTTATTAGCATCTAAAAAAACCTTAAATCAGTGCGATTTTGTTAGTTAGCATGTAGAGGAATTTTATATATAGGTACTTACAACAAAACTTACTTCAGACAAATCTCATACATTCTTCTTCCGATTTTATCTTGTATATCGCGTATTGTATCTCTTAGAGATTTTGTTACTGCATGACCTCTCAAAGATTCTACATTAAAATTATTCGTTTTGGCGGGAAATATCATGAAAGCCACTACTGTTACATCAGGATGGGTTGCCTACAATTACATCATTATTAATTACGGAAATTTTGCATATCTAAGATTTCAAGCAGTTGATACTGATAGTGATTTCCTATTTGAGATTTGATATAATCAATTTTCATAACTGGTCAAGAACCCAAAAACTGCTAAATTCTTTTACTTTCATATTTTTGTAGTTATTGTTACTTACTTCATGATTTGGAAAATAGATATACCTAATAAGACACGAAAATTTAAACCAACAAATTTGATACATGAATACAACAAAACATAAATAAGCAAATTATTTTTTTCAAATTAGTTGATACAACTTCGAGAAAGTTATTTTTAACTTTACTGATTTCTTTGTATTTCATGGCTACCTTGATAAAAATTCAAAGTTAGTCAAATATCAACTTGTTGAATTCAGCAGCTTGTTTTTTCCACACTACCATTGAGTAATCAAGGACACTACTATATTTTGAAATCAAATTAAAATGCGGACATACAGTGTCATTCATAAAGTCGGCATCATATGGGAAAAACTTTTATTAATGTCTTATTTTGGAATTCGAGTTGTACGTTGAGTTTTGCTTCAAAAAAGATGAAAAATTGCCTACTCAATCGGGGTCACGTGACTTTCGCAACATGTCAAAAGTGACATTTTTTCAAATTAATCGCTGAAAGTAGGCTTATTTGTTCGAATATCGAAAAAGTTTACTTGAAAAAGTTGTTTCTATTTGAATTTTACATATGTGACTCGGATTTTATCTTTCTATTACATTTTTTAGATTTCGATATTTTTTAAAAATTTCTGTAATATTAAAAAAATTGTAAATTCGATATAACTACTTCATACCAGTAGTTTCATCATGCTACTAACTTTCAATTACTGATTATCACTAATTATCGACAAAGATATGATTTTCTTCAGAAAATTATAATCTCCGCTTCAATATTCTGTTATGTTTGATACCATAACATCAAAATTCTGTTATGTTTGAGTCAAGCATTTAGAAACGAAATTCATGCAAATTTATTTTTTCAGTACTGAAAAGATCAGTTTAAATGAATTTCGTTTCTAATTGCTTGACGATATATCAACTTTGTATCAAACATAACAGAATTTGGAAGCGGGTATTATCATTTTCTGAAGAAAATCATATTTTTGTCCATAATCAGTGATAATGAGTAATTGAAAGTAAGTAGCATGAAAAAGCTACTGGTATGAAGTAGTTTCGTGGAATTAACAATTCTCCAAATATTACAGAAATTTCGAAAAATAAAAAAAAACAAAATCTTTAAGTTGCAATAGAATGGTCAAATTCGAGAAGCATGTGTAAAATTGAAATGGAAACAACTTTTTCAAGTAAACTTTTTCGATATTCGAACAAATAAGCCTACTTTCAGCGATTAATTTGAAAAAATGTAACTTTTGACATGTAGCGAAAGTCACGTGACCCTGATTGAGTAGGCCATTCTTCATCTTTTTTGAAGCAAAACTTAACGTCCAACTCGAATTCCAAAATAAGTCATTAATAAAAGTTTTTCCCATATGATGCCGACTTTATGAATGACACTGTATACATTGATCAAAATTTGAAGTTGAATTATCATTTCTCAGGACAAACAAAGAAACTCAGAAGTACCCTACCAAAATTCAGACTTTAGCGAAATATTGTCAGTAGACGTTTAATAATCATGTGTTATCACACTCTCTTCCAAGTATGGAATCATTGGATGGGGTGGTATGTATGAAACTTATCTAAAAACTTTATTATGTATTCAAAAATATGTTCTGAAAATAATATTCCGTGAATCATTTGATCATCCATCAGCATCATTAATTTAAAAAATAATGTATGTATATAAAAAATGATTTGTTATCAAAATGTATATCTTGTTCATTGTGATTGTGTTTTGACATATAAAAATCAAATTGAATTCCTGTGTCTGTGAAAAAAAAAAATTTGTTATGAATGAGGAAATTGTCAGTGGGATGAAAATGTACCTTCAAGTAATGGTTGAGTCGTGCTAGAGCTTCTATGAAGATGTCAGCTCCTTTATTACCAAATTCATAACGTCCAGCAATGAAAAAGTATAATGTTTTATCTAAATTAAAGTCATAGTGCCTGAAAAACCAACAAGTTCAACATTGAAAATTCAAAAATGAATAATCAACACACCCAAAAATAATATACTGTATTATCTAATCAGTCATGATAATGTTTGAAGAAAGTGAAGTAGTCCAATAAATGAAGGAGGAAAAAAAGGCAAAGTTAACGTTAATTACGCACTATTTTCATCTTCCGGTTGGAAGTAGCTTTTGGTACCTCATTAAACATGAGACAAAGTTTGACTGGAGAACGCGTGTGATGGCGGAGAAAATGACCCTAAAAGACCAGAAAAATAGGTTTTCAGCCAATATCTCCTAAAATATGGCAGTTAGAGATTTTCGGTTCAGATAAAAATTGAAGTTCAGTTAATTTTCTACAAAAATGGTCCTTATCATTTTTCTCGAAAATTTGCCCGGTTTTGAGAAAAACGGCACGAAGCGCACCTCGAATAATGAGCTTCTGTGTTGTATGCCGGAGAGCACAGTCCGTGTATTTACACATCGGCGGGGGGACAAATTATTCAATAACTTTGTTAAAAATGCATATTTTCTCATGATTCAAAGTTCATGTGAAAGAGGAATTCTGCTGCTATCATACCCTGCGTGGCCGCATGGTTTGTAGCAGACGACCCGAGCGCCACGTAGAGCACACACGCGGCGAACGACGGAGGAACGAAAGTAATAAATTATAGCGTGTACATTTAGATATACTGGTTTTTTCCCGGGATATCAAAGGTATGACTTATATACATCGATGGAAAGGTGGGAATTCCCCCGTTACACTAGTTGAGGTGTTAAAATGTTAGAAATAAATAGCACGGAGAAAAAAAACACCGAAAAAAAAGTGTGTTTTTTCCTTGACCCCGCTTTTTCTAATTTTATTGAAAAATGGACGACTTCGTCTAAAAAAGTAATTGCACAATCGAAAAGTAGACCTTCTTAGCTTTCAAATGATGTATCATAGAAACCAATCGGATCATGTATACATTTTTAATTGATGGTTGTTCACAAAATTTCCCCGCGCTCCAAAAACAGCAAAAAATTGGGATTCAATGAATAAAGATTAAATGAAAATTTAAAATAATTAGGGTATACAAATTTCAGGGATGACAAAGGACCTTATGAGGACCCATAATCAAGAGAATTTTGAGTAAATTAGTGCAATACAAAAAAAATAGGAACAAATTCCTGGCGAGGTCAAAATTGACCGGGAGCTGAAAGTTTGACCCATGTTCCGATATGGCCAAAAGAGTCAAGCGTGACTCAATTCACAGGGTATGATATACACAGACTGTGCTCTCCGGCATACAACAGAAGCTCATTATTCGAGGTGCGCTTAGTGCCGTTTTTCTCGAAACCGGGCAAATTTTCGAGAAAAATGATGGGGGCCATTTTTGTAGAAAATCAACTGAACTTCAATTTTTATCTGAACCGATAATCTCTAACTGCCATATTGGCTGAAAACCTATTTTTCTGGTCTTTTGGGGCCATTTTCTCCGCCATCGCACGCGTTTTCCAGTCAAACTTTGTCTCATGTTCAATGAGGTACCAAAAGCTACTTCCAATCGGAAGATCCTTTATTTATTGGACTAAAGTGATTCTTTGAAATAATAGACCCCAAGACTAGGTAAGTTGATTTTATACAATTGACTATCACTAAGTATTCAGTATCATACCCGTAAAAATGTCCTCGAACAAACTCATGGAGTTTCTCTTTGGAAAGAGCATGTAAATTTTGAAACTCATGGAGTGCCGAGAATTTTTTGACATTCAAACCATTAGGGGTGATAACATCAGGTTTTTTCTTCAGCAAATGTTCTGCCTCATATCCTAAAAGAAACATTTATAAACATATACAGGGTAGGGTGAAAACGAAATAACGTCAACGGTGGGTAGAGCTTATCAAGGTCATTCTGAATATACCATATTTGTGAAAATGTTATGCAAAACGTCTGATGAAGATATGGATTGCGAGAAACGCCATAAAAACCCAAATATCAAAGGATCCCAAGAAGTTGAGAAAATACAGAGAATTTCAAAAACTTGTAAAATATTTCAAGGAATTGCAAAAATATCGAAAGGATTTCCATGGTTTCTAAAGAATTCCAAGCAATTTGGAATGGAATTACAAAAAAAAATCAAGGAGTATCAAGGAATTCTATTAAATTTGTATGAATTCTGATAGATTTCAAGCAATTCAAATGAATAGGAATTGCATGGAAGGATCCCAAATGATTCCACAGAATTTCAAAAATTCCAAATAATTTCAAAGGAATTAAAGAAAGAAATGGAAAAAATACAGGAGATCACATACAATTCCAAGAGATTTCAAGGAATTACAGATAAGGAATTCAAAATAATTTCCCCAAATTTCATGAAACTACAGACAAGGAATTCTAAAGAATTTCAATGAGTTTCAAATAATTACATGGGATTCAAAAGGATTCAAATGAAACTAAAACTAATGGATTCCAAGAATATTGTATGATTAAGAATTTAAAGTAGGTATTGCAAAAGGTTCCACAGGATTCCAAGGATTACAGATAACTCCAAGCAAAGGATTCCTAGAAATTTCATAATATTCAAAAAGAATTCCAAGGAGTTTCAAGAGTTCCAACCAAGAGATTCCAAAGAATTTTGACGAAATTCAATGCTACCTGTTTAGAATAATTTCAAGAAAGTCAAGTAATTTTTTCTAGCTAAAATTTTCCAAACTATTCCAGGAATTCAAGGAATTTCATCACAGTTCAGCCCTTGTTATATACTAACCTGTGATATCTGAAACAGTGGTGAAACAATGACATAAATGAGAAGCTGCCCTTTCCATGCAATATCTATGATAAATTTGCCTTTTTCCTGCTTCTTCATCAACACTGAACTGAAAATAAAGTTTTATTAAAATTTGTTTATCCTATGAATCTATAATTTGCACCCACTGTACTGAGGTTATTGTAGAAATCTGTGTTACCAGCACACAAATATCTGCCTAAGAGTGTAGCATGTGTAGTGAAAACAGTGGCAACATTGACATGCCTTGTGCGAAGTACAATAAGACCAACTCCAGCTTGCCATTCATGGAAATGTGTTACAATTCTTGGTGGTGTACCTTCTCCAAATTCTTCAGCAGTATTCCTAAACTATAACAAAATAAATAGTACACTCAGTCCCAAAAAAAGTGACGCTCTTGATATTTGACCTATCTTCTTAAAAAAAAAAATAGTAGGCCAATTTAAAAAAAATAAAGAGTGGAATTTTTTTTCAAAGCCTCCTTGATGGTGGTGGAATAACTCGAACCATGATTTATTCTTAATTTTTTACTCACCCTGTGTGTTAATTGAGTAATGGTATAAAAAGTGCTTACACCCTATACAAGAGAGACTTCTTTTGTGAGCATTTTGTTTTTTTATTCATTGATTTATCTCTGAAATTTTCCGAATTACAGCTTTTTTGCTGATACCTTACGCTTATCCCACAAATTAAATTTATTGAAGGATCAGAGTACTCAAAATTGATTGGGTTGTGCTCTGGTAGGATCACATTGTCTTTAAAAAAACAAATGCCGTTGCCATAGCAACTAATTTGTTGTATGCCTCCATATTTGACCATTTGTCGTTGTGTCATTAATTAACTGTCTTGTTTTATTGACTAAAATTACATAAAATGCCTCAAATAAATCCTGAACAAGTAGCAAGATTAGTTGCGTTAGTAAACGATGGGCGTAGTAAACGTTACGCCGCTCGTGCAGTGGGAGTTCATGAAGCAACTGCTCGTAGAGCAATCCGCAAGTACGAACAAACAGGAAGCACCGCTCGGAGGGTCGGTTCTGATCGCCCCCGAAAAACTTCTCCAAGAGATGATCGCTTCTTGAGATTGCGGATTTTACGGAATCGATCAAATACTGTGGAAAATGTTCAGCAAGATCTTCGCCAAATTCGTGATGTTGCAGTAAGTAAGCAGACGATGTGTAGACATCTAAAAGAAGTTAATTTAAAAGCTAGGAGACCTGCAAAAGGTCCCAAATTATTGCTTGAACATCGTGCTGCTAGAAGAAATTTTGTTGAAAATTATGGACAGTACAATATTCCTGAATGGTCAAATATCTTGTTTACGGATGTGTCAAGGTTTTGCCTTAACATGCTGGATGGAAGAAAAAGAGTGTGGAGAAGAACTGGTGAACAGTTTGATCAAAATTTAATAACAGAATGCGAAAGTTTTAATGGTGGGTCCGTTATGGTGTGAGGAGGGATTTCAATGAATGGAAAGACACTCCTTCATGTTTTTCCGGCGAGGCAGTCGATGAATGCCCAAATTTACATCGACATTTCAGAGCAGTATGTCTTACCTTATGCAGAGTTAGTGGGCAATAATTTTATATTGATGCAGGCAGGCATTACAATGGCATGCGAGAAGCCCCGATATGAATCCTATAGAACATTTTTGGGATGGATTAGGGAGAAGGGTACGTTCTCGCGAGAGGTCTCCGGAAAGTCTCGCAGAAATGGCAGATGCATTAGTGGAAGAATGGGATCGTATACCAATGGAAATGATAAGCAACTTGACTTCCAGTATGCCTCGTAAATTAGAAGTTCTTTGAGTTGCTAGAGGAGGCAATACACGGTATTAAGCAGTCATCCCAATTTATAATTCTGTGTTTAATAAAAATGTTTTTTTAAATTATTGGTATCAGTTTATTTCATTAGAAAATTGTTTCTCGATAAATTCAGAAAGTTGGTAATCTGCAAGGATTCAGCAAAAAGAGCTGTAATTCGGAAAATTTTAGAGTTAAATCAATGAATAAAAAAACAAAATGCTCGCAAAAGAAGCCTCTTTCATATAGGGTGTAAGTACTTTCTATGCCATTACTCAATTAACATACAGGGTAAGTCAAAAATTAAGAAAAAATCATGGTTTGAGTTATCCCACCACCATCAAGGAGGCTTTGAAAAAATTGTCACCTCTATTTTTTTTTAAGTAGATTTAGAAGTTCTTAGAGTTGCTAGAGGAGGCAATACACGGTATTAAGCAGTCATCCCAATTTATGATTTTGTGTTTAATAAAAATGTTTTTTTAAATTATTGGTATCAGTTTATTTCATTAGAAAATTGTATCTCCATAAATTCAGAAAGTTGGTAATCTGCAAGGATTTAGCAAAAAAAGCTGTAATTCGGAAAAATTTAGAGTTAAATCCGTTAAATCAATGAATAAAAAAACAAAATGCTTGAAAAGAAGCCTCTTTCATATAGGGTGTAAGCACTTTCTATGCCATTACTCAATTAACACACAGGGTGAGTCAAAACTTAAGAATAAATCATGGTTTGAGTTATTCCACCACCATCAAGGCTTTGGAAAAAATGTCACCTCTTTATTTTTTTTTAATGACAAATGCATTAACTACCAACAAATAAAAAAAAATCGGCCTACTATTTTTTTTTTAAGAAGATAGGTCAAATATCAAGTGTGTCACTTTTTTTGGAGCTGAGTGTATTTCAAAACCCTTTCAACTTTTTTTTCTAGAAACAAACTTACTTCTGCAATAAAATCAGCTACCATATACCCTAAAATTATAGCATCATTGGCCTCTATATCTAAATGGGGCACCCCTATATTAGTTGTGTTCCACAATTCAGACTTATATTCATCTAGCTTCCATGCTGCTGACCCAATATCCATGAGAATAATCTGGGGATTACCATCCACCAGCCACCTTCCTGTATGGACTTTGAAACCCTTATTTCTCAATGCCTCCACAGCTTTATTCAAGGGCTCAGAACTGAGAGGACCTTCTTCCACCTCAGTTCTAGCACAGTGTTCTTTGTAAGGGCCAATCAGGCAATACTGGTCCCCCATTTCTTCAGTGGACACATATGCTTTGGAACGGATTACAGTATAAATTCCTCCCACTGAAAAATATATAGGGTTTTCCCGGGGGTTTTCCATGGGGGTATTATGTATTACCTTTGTTAGCCACCTCCCATGCAATTTCAAAGCTCCATCTATTTTCTTCTTCAGCTGTCATGCCTCTATCTAAGCCTATGAGGTTGTTGGTGGATTCAATCCTATAGAATCTTCTTGAAGCTCTTTCCCTGGACATTTTGCTATAAAAATAATTATAAAATAATCTTGTTCTTATCTTTATAGCTGCATTCCCTTGAAAGAGGAGGACAAAAAATTATAGTTACCTAATTAATGGAGACAGTATTTATATATTTTATGATAAGTAATTTATCAACAAAATATGTAATCAAATGAGTTACATCATAATAATGATTTCGAAAATAGCTGAGGATTTCCATTGGAATGGCAAATCATTGAAATTGGCTGACAAAATAAAATATTCAACAGGTTACAAAACCCACCAAAATTCCGAATAAATAATTAACACAAGCCAAAACTATTCTCGAATTGAACACAATAATATACATTACTCTTGTTACTTACCAGTTCCTGTTCGAATCTTGAACCCACCAATAACGGCAACAACCAATATTTTCAGTCAACTTTTTCAAAAATAAAATACTTCACTTCAGCTCAACCTAATCACAAAATCAGTGTATAAAAAACTCGGGAATAGTTCCTTACATAGGAGGAGAAAATAATAAAGATAAGTAATATAACGTTCAATGAACTGAGTGAGATACCGCTATACCCGTTGTGGGAAAAAAATCACGGGCTATGCATGAAGGTCACCTTTAGCTAGTAGTAGTGGTAGTAAATAGTAAATAAAAAATCATTCATCTTCCCATGGTACATGTATTGTTGGTTGCCGACCTCTCAGGCAATAGAAGATTTCATTCGCCATGGAACATGAACATGGCACGAAATGGATCAAAACAGTAAATAGGCGTGTTCGTTTGTCCTTGCTCTATCTGCTGAACTCGATTTTTTTATATGACTTACTTTGTTTACATCATGCCATGAACAGAGACAACTATGGAAAAAGAATCAACTTTAGCAAACAACTACATTCAGTTCATTGTTTTGGAGATACTTATTCTGAAAATATGAATGTTGAGATCCATTCGTCATTGTTATCTTTTGCATCTTTCATCTTTTTTTCTCAAATGGAAAATAAAGAGAAGACGATTGGATTGGGGTGACAGAAGTCATCTGACTGACAAATTGACACTTTCACTGACAATTTTGACTTTGACAGATCGGTTTATTTGGCTTTTTCGCTTGTTTGTTTTTATTCCTAATCGTTTCCATTTTAAATGGAACTATAAAACTGTGCTATTAAATACTTATATTTGTTTTTTATTTTAACTCAGACGTTTTTATCGATTTTTGCTACATGATGTCGTCTCCAGGTCCAGTGGATTCTCCTTCTCCATCGGTAGTAAAGAAACATAAGAAACACAAAAGTGAAAAACGCGAAAGGGAAGAAAAACCAGGTTTGAAGCTCATATTAAAAGTAGGATCTCAAAATACGCCGGAGCACGATAAAGAATTCGATCCTAGCTTACCAGTGCCAGTACCAGTACCAGTACTTGGTGAAGGAATGGAAGAACCAATGCAAGTAGATCCAAATGATCCTTACTTTGGTATGTCCAAATCACACCATAAGAAGTCAAAGAAGAAAAAGAAGAAAAAGGACAAGAACAAGGATAGAGAAAAAAGGCATAAACACCATCACAAAGATAAGAAACGTAAAAGGGAAGAAAATGAAGAAAATGGTAAGACCTCAATGAATCAAATTTAAATCTTGCTACCTTCTTATCAACTTTTAGAAGACATTGAAGTGTATCCCCAAATTGGTAGTCCTGGTAGAGAACTCAGAACTTGTGTTATTAAGAAACTGCAAGAAAGAACACCACTTTCAAAAGGGTTGGATCATTTGTTGACCCAACTGGAGAAAAAGGACCCTCAGAACTTTTTTGCTTGGCCAGTTACTGATAATATTGCTCCTGGCTACTTTTCTATCATTACAAATCCAATGGACTTCAGTACAATGAGACAAAAAATAGAGGAGAATCAGTATTCACATCTTGATGTAATTTTTAACTATGGAGTGTATTTTTACTGTTTCAATTTTTGTTGTTTGTAGGAGTTTGTGAATGATTTCAAACTGATGTGTGAGAACGCCATGAAATATAATCATGTTGAAACAGTCTATTACAAAGCAAGTAAAAAGCTTCTTCAAGCTGGTTTGAAGCTGATAGTCCCTGAAAAATTGGGTTGGATGTTGAACTTGGTGCCAGAAATAACTAGTGAGGAGGTTGGTTTTGAGATAACAGCTGAACTGAGAGCTGTCAAGCAACAAGAAGATCATGAGGATGGTGAGCATGTCCTGGAAAATAAAAGAAAAATGCCAGCCACCAAGTTTGAGGCTGTTCCTGATGTTCTAACTGCTGAGGAGATTCTTGCAAAGTCTCAGATTGCTGCTAGGCAAGCCAAGGCAAAATTATGTGAGTAACATTAACTATATTACTGTTGTGACATATTCTTGAGTTCTCTTCCTAAAACCACTAGAGAAATTATAACACAAAACAATTAGTGCAGTTTCTAGCAACCTACATTTTCTAGAATCAACACTAAATTAATACAAAACTAGAAGTTTTCCAAATTTGATTTAGTTCTCAAAATATGTTGTTTTATTCATGTTGTCATAAATGAATTGAAAATATCAAACAACATTTAATGAAGTCATTTAATACAGTCCATAGTTATGAGACTGAACAATTGAATTATTTGATTTATTTATTTATTTATTTATTTATTTATTTCAGTTATTGCATTACATTCTCTTCTTCATTGATACATTTCATACAAATAATATATAAAGTATAAATAATTTTCTAGTAGGAATGACATGAATGATTTATTTATTTATTTATTTATTTATTTATTGAACAAATAACTTCCAGACAGAATAGGCTCTGGTATAAGGAAGTACATAATTATATACCTATAGGTAAACATATCATTATACAAAATATATCAACAACTGTAAATTGACAAACAAAGAATAATATTTGTAAAAAAAAAAATGGCATGTTCAATTTTATCCAGTTCGCTCAGAAATAATCAATTTTTTCACTTCATTTTTGAATGAACCTATATTTCTGCAATTTTTTATATTGTCAGGTAGTTTATTGAATTCAGTTAAGGCTGAATGAGTGAATCTTTTTTGTCCAACAGTAATTCCTGGTATAAGATCATTCATGAAGTATTATCCACTGTTGTATAATTGAAATTACAAATAGTGAACAAAACTTACATATCATTAAGATATCTCAAAATAACAGTCATATTATAGTGAACAAGAAGGGGAAAAATAAAAACAGTGAAAAAAAAAAAGGAAATTCATAGTCTTTCAGCTTTGATAATTCCTTTGCATATAAATATATTTCTTAACTTTATTTTTGAATTGCATATTTGATAGCAAATAGTATTATATTCAAGTGGAACATTAGCAAACAATCTGTATTTCACAATGGAATAACTTTGTACAAGTCATATAGGTAAAAAAAAATTACAATAAATTGCCTCCTTCTTTGAAAAATATCAGTTTTTTTGGATTCAAGAAATAAATTGAATCTTGGTTGATTGAGAATTCAGAAATTTTGGAAATTGGATTATATGAAAAAATACATATGCAACATATCATGTTTTTTATGGTTATATTCAGATAATATCAAGATTTATTCATGTTAATTGTACTCAATGAGAAAATGAATTTTAGTTAGTCAGTGGAAGGAAAAAAAATACATGATGATGGACAAGTTTTCAACTTTTTTGATCATGTTTATATTAAAAAAAATTATTAATAATTTAGTATGCTGATATGTATGTTATTTTAAAAATGAATAAATAAAAATGAATAATTACCTATCAAGTTGAAAAATATAGGTATCTATTTTATGTAAGAAGATCAAGGTGAAAAATTGATTGGTTTTGATTTTTGAGGAATTCTCATAATTTTTCCACCTATTGCTTCCTTGAGGAATGTAAGTCAATGTGTATGAGGCCCTTATTTTTCTAAAGAAATTTGATTAAAAACATTCATAAATAAACGAGAAATAAATGGATACCAATTAATTTAAAATCAGCCTAGTAATCAGCTCTTCACCTTGATTCTCTGACATAGAATAAGCTGAAATAGAAGTAAAAAAAAACAAGACATACACAAATTCCATATAGAAAATTGGTGGTAAATATAATGAGCCATTTATGCTGTTTTGTTATTGGTCAGATAATCTTCCATTTCCACTCATGAAGCAAGATTGTCAAGTCACCAATTATAATCAAGTTATCAAAAAGATGCTAGAGTCCTGTCATTGAATGAAACTTAATAGGAGGAATTAGTTCATTCTTGACTTTTTCGAACAACCAGCATGTACAAAGATTTCTTATTCTCCATAACAAAATATCACGTGAATGTTGGAGACTTGGCAACATTGTGCTGAATGCTGAGAACTGACAAGACCACGCCCACAAGTCGTGCGCCGTGGTTCTCACGTTCACTGATTCAAATGTCCTCTAGTGTGAATTAATATAATTATTATTTACACAAATTTCAAAAAATTACACTTTTGTCAGACCCAAATGACTTTGAATCCATTGTGTCAAAGTCAACTTCTGTCAAACTACCCCTGAAAAGCAACCCCCAACTTCAAATATTTAAGATACAATTTATACATTTTCTGTTGATTTGTGAAGTGCTTCAATACTAACGACTAACGACGAAGCACTATGAGTCGTATGTGGTGCGGTTTCAGAATTACATTTTGTACTAGAAGTCATTCCAAAATTGTACAAAATTCAAGTATATTGTACTAAAATGAGAAAATAACACTTCAATTATGAAAATCCCAATCCCTTTCAATCCGAAGTACCCAAGAGGACTTGATAAGGTTTTCAAAGACTTAGATTTTGGAAGCGTTCATCAGTCTGGGTCATTTTTTTTTTTTTTTATTCTTTGTTTGCCAATTTACAGTTGTTGATATATTTTGAATGATGCTATGTTTACCTATAGGTATATAATTATGTACTTCCTTATACCAGAGCCTATTCTGTCTGGAAGTTATTTGTTCAATAAATAAAATAAATAAATAAATAAGGTAGACACACTTGCAAAGGCTGGAATATACAAAATAAGTTGCAATGGCGTGCCATGAGAACAAGGTTCAAAGAACACTCAGCACATTTACAATATAGTAGGTTAGATAAATTGTGTGTAGCGGAACACATGTTCAATCACAATCATAACGCACATATCAATAACCTCAAATTAGTTAAACAAGTTGATAATGTTAAGAAATTAGATGCATATGAGAGCTTAGAGATATTTAAGAATAGTAATAGAGTGATGAATAAGGATGATGGACCTATCCCATTTATCGGTTATTGTCTATTCACGGTTGGGTGGACATATATCTAGTATAGTAGTCTTAATCTTCTCCTGAAGATGCTAACATAGCTAGCAAAACACGTGTCGAGGTGTAAAAAATCTGTTTGGTTAGTGTTAAAACAGTGTGTAGACTATTCACTATTCAATCCTCTGCAGTAATGAAACGAGGTCCCGGCATGGGCTTCCTGAAACAAAAGAAAGACGGCTCCACCCACCTGAACATCCTGGTAGGCGGGGACGGAGTTATTCCCGGCACCAAGAAACGTCCCATCCTGCTGGGCCAGCTGTGCGGCAAGCTGTCCGAAGGCACCAATCAGATACAGGGCTTCCGCGAAGATCGCCGGAACATCGGCAAGCCGGTGAAACCGCTTTACTACGGGGCGTTCGGATCGTACGCTCCGAGCTACGACTCTGCTTTTTCCAATCTCAGGTGAGAATGATGAAGAATCTATTTTTTTTTCAAATTAGAAGACATGAAGAGTTAACCGCACACATGTGTGTGGTTATAAGGCAACTTAGGCAACTAAAAAACACATCTCTCTTGATCTCTTGATATATTACTGTTGGTCTACTATGGTCTGGTGCAGTCGAATATATCCTATGGTTTGATTTTCTGGGGGAACTCAAGTCCCATTGTCAAAATATTTATGATGCAAACAAAAATTATCAGGTGTATTGAAGGTGTCAATCAGAGAACATCATGCAAACAAATTTTCATTGAATTATCTATAAGTACCATCATTGTATATATTTCTCACAATTTTAAATATTAAAAACCAACTGGGAACATTTGTTTGAAACAGTACTCAGCATAATTACAATACTCGAGGAGCAAACAACTTGTATCAACCTTTCTCAAGACTTACCATTGGTCAAAATTCTCATTTTTTTTATCGGTAATAAACAGCATTTTAATAATTTTTAATACTTCAAATCTCTCCTGCACAGGTTTTTGGTAAGACATGCATTATATTCTGTAGAAGAATTTGTTCAGTGTTGAAATATGTTTCATCTATTATACATGGATTTTAATTCGGTGTTCAATGTGAATTCATTGTAATTTAAATGTAACAATGGTATAATTTTCTATTTATTAAAGTCTTAATTATAGTTATAGAACCATTCCCCATGACTAGTCTAATAAAGGAGATACCTGTATGTATGAACATATATTTGTTTTAACATGTTTGTACCACTCTCAAAGATGCTTAAATATTTTTCTATTCTATTCTATTCTGCGGCTATTTGCCCTCATCAACCGATTAATTCCCGAACAAGTACAATAAATTCCGATATCGACAGTAGGTATACGGGGTGGAGTGACTAATTCCGATATCGACAGTAGGTATACGGGGTGGAGTGAAGAGAAATTTAATATACAGTGTCACCGTTGAAATGCAGGATGAAGTTCATAATTTTTTTATCGATCGATAGCTGTCAGAAAATACAGAGTCAGGAATTTCGTCTTTCGAATATAAACGATTCAAAAGTGGCACATAAATTCATTATTAGCTGAACATCATTATTAAAAATTTCTGATACTTGTTCATTTTCGGAATCTGATAATTGAAAAAAATAATGGGATATCCCATTCAAAAAGCAACTGAGAAGTCATCACACGAAGTGATTTCGCCCTGTTATCAGATTTTCATTCTAAAAACAGTGAATTGAAATACAAAATCGACCTAATCCAAGAATTCCATGTAGTACTGTTTATTTAGCTAATAATTAAATCAAGCTTCACTTTATGTACGCGTGATATAGAAATCGGATTAGCTTCAAATTTAAGCACATATTTCCAATATTCAAAGCTCTTGTTTTTGATTCAATTCAAGTACCAACTATCTTTTTCATTTCAACAATTGTTTCTAAAAATACGTTATGCTGATGACGAACCCTACATAATTTCATAATCCGAAACATTATTAGATAATTCTGAGATTAAATATTGTGAGCATGACTTGTGTATCATGTTTCCTGGATTTGCCTGATTGATTTGAGCATCAGACCCTGTACGCCTTTTCAGCAAAGAAGAGAGCGATCTGGTCTACCAAACTTACGGCTCAGATTCGGCCGTACAGTATGCAGAGAGCGTCCAGGACTTTGTCAAGGATTCCGACTATGCCACTCATCTAGTCGACTCCCTTTTGGACTTGCTGACAGGCGGAGATCATTCCAGGTAGGGTTGTGACCTTTCGTTCATAAAACACTATTTGTTTACAATCATTAGATGGAAGGAATATTGAGGGACCTGTTTTAAGCAAACTGGGAAGAGATTATTCGACATAGCCCTCAGAAAGAGTTAACTGCAGATACGTGTTTCGGGCTTTCGGCCCTCATCAGTACGGTGAAAAAAGTGTAAAAAATAGCCAACACTAGTTTAGCATTAAAACATGTCAACGCTGTAAAATGTGCGTAAATATTCACACTTTTCTATACCAGACTCGTAGTTTGAGCGAGGGGCAAGACAATGGAGAAATTTCCTCAAGATGACTTTTCATCAAATAAGTTGGATAGTCGTTTTTATTTTCAAACTAAAGCAATTTATGATTATCGGGGCGGCAAACTGTGACTTACAATCTGAATCTAGCTTGAATATAGCTGATGAAAAAAAATGTAGCTAGCGAATGGCTAACAAATGAAAAACGAATAATAAATATAACGAACCAACCAAAACAACTATTAACTGTAGACAGGCTGACGAATGACTGGAGATCAAAAATCGACACAAATAAAACTGGTAAACAAAAACATACATAACCACAAAATCAGATCAGCACTCGCAGTGTGCCTGTCAGTATTGAGTGGACAGGCTCAAAGTATTATGCGTTGTTTGTTGCAAGAAAATAGATCCGTTTTATAAAGAAAGGAATTCATTTGCAAAAAAATGACTGACATGTTATGATTATCATTTTGTTACATAATGAAAGTGCAAATGGGAGATATATCAAAATTATTCATTATGCTCGACGAAGTAGGATGAGAAAACCTAGCTAGTATGGTGAATGTTTTCACAATCCACGCACTGGCGAACCATAATAGACTTTTAATAATTGTCTTTATATAGTTTTATAACAAGAAGACACTGAAAATCAATTAAAACATAAAAATTCCTCAAATGGTAACAAACACAGCACAACAACACTGTAGTATAGGATATTGACATATACTTGAATGACTTCAAAAAGAAAATGCGCAATTCGTAGTCAACACGCCAATACAGCGTTGCCACACTTATTTTCATAACAGCACTATATCAAAACTCGTTTCTCTATAGAACGGGAAATACAATAAAACTAGAGCATTGTGCTTTCTTAAGATGATTTATACCCTTATTTCTAATAGAGGTATTAACAGAGTTGCAAAACTATTTGATAGCATCTATTATTTCGAGATGTATTAATTTCTCCTAGTATTTCAACTGAAATTCTGTATAAAAATCGAAGGTAAAATTTTTCCCACCTCATTCCAGGACGAAGAAGAGCCTTGAGGAGAACAAGAACTTGAGGGAGGAGGAGGCAGCAGTCAAGACCATGCTGGAAGTGAAGCCCACAGATGCTGTCAAGATTGATGTAGACGAGTTGAAGAGTCTACAAGGTACGTTCCTGAACGATTTTTCTCGTTTGCTTGACCATTGTCGATATAAATTGAGATGCTAGTTTGCTAGTTAGTATGCGAGAGGTATAATATTGTCTGTTCATTGACCCAAAATTTGTCTGCCGATCACTGGCGCCACATAGATGTATAGAAAGTCAAATGGTGCTATCACTTCCTATTGAAAGGAGTTTCGAAATCTCTCGATATCGCCTACTTTGGAAAAATTAGCGAGGCGTGGGAGAATCTTGTTAAATTCTCGAAGTTTCAAACCAAATTTACAGGCATCATGACACGTTCATTTGCGTTCACATTTCCATTTTTTGTTCAAATGGAAACGGTGCGTTATATTTTCGACTTTCAATGGTGAATTCATGAACGACACAAAGTCCTAACTCAAGAAAATCCTTTGATAATCGTTCATTTACTCAGTTTTGATACATAAAATGAAACGAATGTTCGGATTTTCAAATAATTCTCACACATTGCAGCAGTCAGTCCATGATGAAAGCACAATACACTCACCCAACTAACGATTATAGAGTTCTTGTGCGTACAGGATCTCGAATGATGAGATATCTGCCATGGTTTACATTACTTCTGGAATATCCTGAAGAAAAAATGGATTAGTACTATGCTTCTCTGATTGCGATATTATTCATTATAATTTAGAGCTATGAAAGAGAATATGAGTCTATCCTTCAAAGAGCACAGCTTCATTGAAACAACGACTGTTGCTCTCCGAATGAAGGGCACAAATAATTTGGAAAAAACTGGTATAAAACCACTGTTTATACCTAACTCTTGAAGGCGACACCCTCCTTTGTAGAGAGGCATTACGAACGCCAAAGTTGATACACTCCCCTCGTAAGGGTACCGGACGTGATTCCATACACAATGTCGACTAATTTGTCGACTCTTTGATTTAATGATCGATTAAAGTCGTTTTTCATGAAGAAATGTTCGAAGAAGAATAAAAATACGTTCTGTTTCGAATTAAATGTTCATTAAAACTTATCTTGGACATTTCCATATTCCATTAATCTGTCTGACAGATGTTGAGCTCATGAGTGAATTGTCCTGAACGATTATAGAGTTTTTGTGAGTTCAGGATCTCAAATAATGAAACATGTGCCATAGTTTACACTGCTTCTGGAATATCCTGGAAAAAAAAACTCGGATTAGTATCATGCTTTTCTGATTGCGCAAAATATTATCCGTTATTATTCACATCTATGAGAGAAAACTTATCTTGAACATCTCCATGTTCCATTAGTCTGTCTGACAGATGTTGAGCTTATAAGTGAATTGTCCTGAACGATTATAGAGTTCTTGTGAGTACAGGATCTCAAATGATGAGATATCTGCCATAGTTTACATTGCTTCTGAAATATCCTGTAAAAAAACTTGGATTAGTATTATGCTTCTCTGATTGCGCAATATATTATTCATTATAATTTACAGCTATGGAAGAAAACATGAGTCTATCCTTCAAAGAGCACAGCTTCATTGAAACAACGACTGTTGCTCTCCTAATGAAGGGCACAAATAATTTGGAAAAAACTGGTATAAAACCACTGTTTATACCTAACTCTTGAAGGCGACACCCTCCTTTGTAGAGAGGCATTACGAACGCCAAAGTTGATACACTCCCCTCGTAAGGGTACCGGACGTGATTCCATACACTCACAATGTCGACTAATTTGTCGACTTTTTGATTTAATGATCGATTAAAGTCGTTTTTCATGAAGAAATGTTCGAAGAAGAATAAAAATACGTTCTGTTTCGAATTAAATGTTCATTAAAACTTATCTTGGACATTTCCATATTCCATTAATCTGTCTGACAGATGTTGAGCTCATGAGTGAATTGTCCTGAACGATTATAGAGTTTTTGTGAGTTCAGGATCTCAAATAATGAAACATGTGCCATAGTTTACACTGCTTCTGGAATATCCTGGAAAAAAAAACTCGGATTAGTATCATGCTTTTCTGATTGCGCAAAATATTATCCGTTATTATTCACATCTATGAGAGAAAACTTATCTTGAACATCTCCATGTTCCATTAGTCTGTCTGACAGATGTTGAGCTTATAAGTGAATTGTCCTGAACGATTATAGAGTTCTTGTGAGTACAGGATCTCAAATGATGAGATATCTGCCATAGTTTACATTGCTTCTGAAATATCCTGTAAAAAAAATACTTGGATTAGTACTATGCTTCTCTGATTGCGCAATATATTATTCATTATAATTTACAGCTATGAAAAAAAAACATGAGTCTATCCTTCAAAGAGCACAGCTTCATTGAAACAACGACTGTTGCTCTCCTAATGAAGGGCACAAATAATTTGGAAAAAACTGGTATAAAACCACTGTTTATACCTAACTCTTGAAGGCGACACCCTCCTTTGTAGAGAGGCATTACGAACGCCAAAGTTGATACACTCCCCTCGTAAGGGTACCGGACGTGATTCCATACACTCACAATGTCGACTAATTTGTCGACTTTTTGATTTAATGATCGATTAAAGTCGTTTTTCATGAAGAAATGTTCGAAGAAGAATAAAAATACGTTCTGTTTCGAATTAAATGTTCATTAAAACTTATCTTGGATATCTCCATATTCCATTAATCTGTCTGACAGATGTTGAGCTCATAAGTGAATTGTCCTGAACGGTTATAGAGTTCTTGTGAGTACAGGATCACAAATGATGAGATATCTGCCATAGTTTATATTGCTTCTGGAATATTCTGAAAAAAAAACCTCGGATTAGTATTATGCTTTTCTGATTGCGCAAAATATTATCCGTTATTATTCACATCTATGAGAGAAAACTTATCTTGGACATCTCCATGTTCCATTAATCTGTCTGACAGATGTTGAGCCCATAAGTGAATTGTCCTGAAATATTATAGAGTTCTTGTGAGTACAGGATCTCAAATGATGAGATATCTGCCATAGTTTACATTGCTTCTGAAATATCCTGAAAACAAAAAACTTGGATTAGTACTATGCTTCTCTGATTGCGCAATATATTATTCATTATAATTTACAGCTATGAAAGAAAACATGAGTCTATCCTTCAAAGAGCACAGCTTCATTGAAACAACGACTGTTGCTCTCCTAATGAAGGGCACAAATAATTTGGAAAAAACTGGTATGAAACCACTGTTTATACCTAACTCTTGAAGGCGACACCCTCCTTTGTAGAGAGGCATTACGAACGCCAAAGTTGATACACTCCCCTCGTAAGGGTACCGGACGTGATTCCATACACTCACAATGTCGACTAATTTGTCGACTCTTTGATTTAATGATCGATTAAAGTCGTTTTTCATGAAGAAATGTTCGAAGAAGAATAAAAATACGTTCTGTTTCGAATTAAATGTTCATTAAAACTTATCTTGGACATCTCCATATTCCATTAATCTGTCTGACAGATGTTGAGCTCATAAGTGAATTGTCCTGAACGGTTATAGAGTTCTTGTGTGTAAAGGATCTCAAATGATGAGATATCTGCCATAGTTTACATTGCTTCTGGAATATCCTGGAAAAAAACACTGATTAGTATTATGCTTTTCTGATTGCGCAAAATATTATCCGTTATTATTCACATCTATGAGTGAAAACTTATCTTGGACATCTCCATGTTCCATTAAACTGTCTGACAGATGTTGAGCTCATGAGTGAATTGTCCTGAACGATTTCAGAGGTTTTGTGAGTACAGGATCTGAAATGATGAGATATCTGCCATAGTTTACATTGCTTCTGAAATATCCTGAAAAAAAAACTTGGATTATTGCTATGCTTCTCTGATTGTGCAATATATTATTCATTATAATTCACAGCTATGAAAGAAAACATGAGTCTATCCTTCAAAGACCACAGCTTCATTGAAACAACGACTGTTGCTCTCCGAATGAAGGGCACAAATAATTTGGAAAAAACTGGTATAAAACCACTGTTTATACCTAACTCTTAAAGGCGACACCCTCCTTTGTAGAGAGGCATTACGAACGCCAAAGTTGATACACTCCCCTCGTAAGGGTACCGGACGTGATTCCATACACTCACTATGTCGACTAATTTTTCGACTGTTTGAATGATCGATAAAAGTCGTTTTTTATGAAGAAATGTTCGATGAAGAATGAAAATACGTTCTTTTTCGAATTTAATGTTCATTAATACTTATCTTGGACATCTCCATGTTCCATTAATCTGTCTGACAGATGTTGAGCTCATAAGTGAATTGTCCTGAACGATTATAGAGTTCTTGTGAGTACAGGATTTCAAATGATGAGATATCTGCCATAGTTTACATTGCTTCTGAAATATCCTGAAAAAAAAACTCCGATTAGTATTATGCTTTTCTGATTGCGCCAAATATCATTCATTATAATTTACAGCTATGAAAGAAAACATGAGTCTATCCTTCAAAGAGCACAGCTTCATTGAAACAACGACTGTTGCTCTCCTAATAAAGGGCACAAATAATTTGGAAAAAACTGGTATAAAACCACTGTTTATACCTAACTCTTAAAGGCGACACCCTCCTTTGTAGAGAGGCATTACGAACGCCAAAGTTGATACACTCCCCTCGTAAGGGTACCGGACGTGATTCCATACACTCACAATGTCGACTAATTTTTCGACTGTTTGAATGATTGATAAAAGTCGTTTTTCATGAAGAAATGTTCGAAGAAGAATAAAAATACGTTCTGTTTCGAATTAAATGTTCATTAAAACTTATCTTGGATATCTCCATATTCCATTAATCTGTCTGACAGATGTTGAGCTCATAAGTGAATTGTCCTGAACGATTATTGAGTTTTTGTGAGTTCAGGATCTCAAATGATGAAACATGTGCCATAGTTTACACTGCTTCTGGAATATCCTGAAAAAAAAAACTCGGATTAGTATTATGCTTTTCTGATTGCGCAAAATATTATCCGTTATTATTCACATCTATGAGAGAAAACTTATCTTGACCATCTCCATG